CTGAAATTTTAAGGCTATTATTTTCAATAACTGTCAGTGTAGGTTTTGTGCTAGAGTAAGCTGTCTGTAGCAATTTGATGCAAATTTAACTTATCTGAGAATCACAGTAACATGAAGTATTCAAGGATAGTAAAGTTGTAAAGGTTTTTATAAAGATATATCTTACTAGGTTGGTATTGTTCTGTTCAGGGAGTTACAGTATCAGGACTAGTAAAATACAAGTACAGAAATACGAAGAAGAAAAAGCTTAAATACAAGTAACACTGTGCCTTTAGTTCTACAAAAATATATTCAGTAAGTGAGGGTTATAGGTTGAAAATTAAATTTATAGGAAATGTGTACTTTTCACTTTCTGCTCCCAGAGATTCTGTCAGTTCATGCAGTTGAATTCAGTGAAATGCCAGAAGAAAAAATCCTGGCAAGCAAACATGCCCAGTCTATATGACTAAGAACTAAAAATCTGTATATAAGATAAATGCATATTTTCTATTAGTTTAGAGTATATGAATGTATAGTTGTAGGAGGAGATATACTTAGCTTTTTAGGATTTATTGAGGCAAAATGGAACTTGTTTATTACTGGCTTCATACCTTTCACCTACAATAATTAATGATTTTAGCTGGGATTTGTAGAAAAATAGAATTTCCAAACTTTATGTTTTCCTGTATCTTTCTTTCAAAGGATTTGGTTTTGAATAAAATGGAAATGTTGTGAATGGAAAACTTTGATCTTTTGTCCAAATTTTCTGCATTAAGAGAAAAGCTGTAACTCCCTCTTCTGCTGAATGTGATTTTGCTTTTATGGACGCCTCACACAGCAACCCAATTAGCTGATAAGCTTGTTTTGTAGCCATCATCTGTAGAACAGCCTTAGGAAATCTGAGCCACAAGTTGTAGAGCAGAGGGAAGAAAGCTGGGGTGTGTATTGCTCCCCACTGGTCACAGGGCACCAGCTGTTGGCTCTGGCCATCCTGCACACAGGAGCATCGGGGCTCCGCGTTCTGCAGCGAATAGGAACAAATATCCTGACTATTCATTGTTGTAATGTAGTTGAGAGTGCTGAGGAGCTCATCTGTTATGTCCCAGAGCTGTTATCTCTGGTGGACTGCCACAGCTAGGTGAACACTTGAGGAAGGGGACAGGGGCTTTATGACAAGGAAGGGAAATGCCACAGCAGGTGGGTGGAGTGGATGAAACAGCTGCAGTGCAGTCAAATGTGACATCTCAGCTCCTGATCCATCAGCTTGCAAAAGGAGCTGTAAGAGGGATAGATTTTCAAGCTTCTGGTTAAACTGAAAATATTGAGGGAGTGGAAATACCAGATTTCTTCATTGTTGAGGATTTAATTTCTTGAGAAATGAAAAACTAGGAAAATATAGATAGAACTGTATATCCCAACTAGAAAATACTGTATTCAGGCTTAAAAAGTATTGTGCAAACATAGCAGGCAATTACAAATATTGGTAGAAAAATGAAGTGGATGTTTTGGGGTAGTTTTAATGCCTTATTTGATTTATTTTAATGTATTGTTCCTTATCATAGGTAAGGCTATATCTACATGTTACAATCCTGTGCCCTGATACGTCTCTCCCTTCTGAATGAGTTCATTTCTCAGTATTATGAGTTGTGTGGGAAAGAGTTTATTAACTCAGGTTACATGGCTTCTGGTATCTAGATTAGATTGGGTATTATTATGTGAAGCTAGTTGTATACTATACAAACATCTGAAATGCTCTGACATCAAAATCCAGTTAGGCTAGGCAAGGTCTGGAAGTGTGAGTTTACAAAAAATGTCTGTTTCTGTATCTATTAGACATTGAAAATTCATTAGGTTTTCTGGGATTCAGAATTCTAACATCTCATTTGTATTTGTCCTTAAAAACATCATTGCCACTCTCTGCTTTATCAAAACATTGAATAAAATAACTTATATTGAATGAAAATCCTAGCTTAGAGCTGTGAGGTGTTTGCGGGTTCTGAAGTGCTGATGATGAGTGCAGTGTTAATGATCTGACAGATACAAACTTGTGGGTAAAGTTTTTCTCTAAATAGAGTCATCTCTTGAATATCTCTAGTTAATATGAATTGGTATTTCATGTTCAGGGAGGTAAAAACTGGCACGCTGGGATTCCTTGCATTTTTCTGTTTGTTGTTGTGGTGCTGATAGACTATGAACTTCTAGTCTGAGTATTTCTAGAAATGAGAAGTGATTGAGTCTCAGCACTTAAAAATGCCTTGTGTGCTTTTTGAAAAGACACCACCATCTGTGTTGTGTTTAATTAATTGTAGTTATTTTGGTGATGTCTGCGTGTGTCCAGTAAGAACAGAAAATAACATTTTAATTTCAGAGAAGTCTGTGGGTTGATTTTTAACTGACTGGAAACAGGACAGCTAAAGCACTACCTTTACCTCTGTTTTAGTTAGGTTTTCAGTCCAGAATTGAAAGGAGTATATTCATAATGTACATACATCTCAGTATAGTGCTGTGCAGATTTCCAACTGAAATACCTTGGTCCTTAGTTTGCAGCCTGTGTTCAAGTACTCCGTGAGGAACTCTGCATTAAATAAGTTTGACTTTGTGAGGTTTCTGGTATCTTTACCATGACAAACAGAAGTTCTGCTGTTCTGTGAAGTGATAGACTAGTCCTTTCAGCCCAGCAGTACATCTAGATATTGAGATATCAGAAGGCTTTTAGGGATTTTGCCAAATAAGTCCAGAAACATTGTTTGTTCAGGGACACAACTGAGAATTGCTGCTAAGGTGTTACGTGTATCAGGGCCAAAACGAGATGAAGCCTTTTAACTTTCTGGGCTAACAATTCCCGAATGTATTTCTTGAAAGACTGATGAAGGGACAGGAAGATGGTGGGGCTCTGGCCAGATGTGGACTCAGCTATGTCTGATCAAAGTAGGAAATCTGCCCAGCTGTGCACCTGAACTATTCACACTCTGGGCCAGCTCGCACTCAGGGGGATTTAGGCTCATTTATGCCCCATGTTTCTTCCTCTTCTGCCTCCTCAGCAGATATGTGTTTACATCAAGTACTTGAGTGATGTTCTGTGACAAGAAATAGTACACTGACACATGGAATGATGGCTCTAAGTGCTGGGAGACCAAAATATCTCATAACATAAGCAAAGGTTGTGTATTGCAGGTACAGTGTTTCTGTAAACAGTATGTGAAATGTCCTTGCAGGTGTGTGGAAGTAGAAATGTGGAGCTACGCAGCATTTTGTTACAAAATTTGAATTAGTTCATGTTGGATGCTTCCATGTAGAACTCATTTGTACACATTTTAGGGTATCTGTAAAGCAATAAGAAATTCTAATTTTGCCATGCTCTATGTGCATATAAGTATTGTGGATACACAGCTTAGCACTCCATTACAGTGTTTTCTTAAAATTATGAGCAATTGGATTTTGCTTAATCTGTGCTGTTTCATGCCAGAACAGAAGATTATGGATCATTACATTATATACAGTAGAAAATTATTCAGAAGTGTCAGTTTGAGGGTTTTGGTAAAATTGCAGACTTTGTAGGTGAAAAGTAATCTTTACTACAACATAGTTCATAATTGTTTTGGGGATGTAAAATCTCAGAATTTTAACTAGGTCTTTATTCAGATTAGATTTAGTATTTTTATAGTAATTTTAGAAATATTGGAAATGTACATGCACATTTGCAGTGCCAAACATTCCTACTGATTCTAGATTATTTATTTCTTCCTACAGAAGTAGCAAAAGCTTCTTTCCCATGCCTGGGAAACAAGGCCAGGTTGGATGGGGCCCTGAGTAGTCTGATCTAGTGGTGGCACCTTTGCCCATGGCAGGGGGGTTGGAACTGGGTTATCTTTAAAGTCCCTTCCCTCCCACGCCTTTCTATGATTCTTCTTGACTTGCAGGCTGCTAATTGAATCACAGTGCACTTCTAAACCATGCAACTCTTAAATGGTCCTAACAGATTCTTCCCTGAATTAAATCTGGATATATTAAATTTTCAGGCTTGCTTTATTGCACAGTGAATGTTTTCTGATAGTATTCAGTGTTTTGAGGAGAGTGAAAAAGGTGAAATAGTTTTCTATGTCCTATAGTATCTTGCTGCTTCTGTTATGTGAAAAGTTGAATTTGAAATAACTTATGTATTTTGTTGTGATTTTTTCCCTTACTCCCTTTGTGCATAGTTTTATATTTTTCTTTAATATAAGCTGATGAGTTATAGCAGCTGCCTAATGCTTGTATTATGGAAGTTACATGGGGCACAGGGTATTTGAATGCTTAGTTATGCCTGACCCAGATCATGCAAAAAAATGAGAAAAAATGAATTGTATCAAAGCTGTTACAGATAGTAGAATAAAAAAAGAATGGAATGGAATAGAATAGTTCTGTTGGAAGGGACTTGCAGTGAGTGTATAGTTCAACTGCCTGACCACTTCACAGCTGACCAAAACCGATCTTGCAGATTTTGATTATGCAGAAGCTATTGCAGGAAAACCAGAATTATATATTAAGTTTTGGTCTGTCCAGCTGCTGAAAACCCACCAGATATAATGTTAAAAGCATGTTAAAAAGCCAAAAACTTCCTTTTTGCCCCAAAACACAAACAGTGTTGTTGTAATTTTGACCATATTTGCTTTCCAGTGCAAAAAATAGCAAAAGATTTCCTTATGTTCAACAAGCTTTGCAGCTACAAATAATTTCCTATATGCTCTTAAATATTTTTCAATGTCTCCATTAAAAAAATATTAGTAATTATAGGAAGGAAAAGTAAGTTAACTGCACTGAAAGCATATAGTAGTGGCAATACTATCACAAAAATCCCAAAGTGAAGCTTTAGTGCTGCATTTCTGTCTTGATACTTCTGTAGGTACTCTGTCTTCTTACTGTGTGGTCATTAAAATCATGAATGAGTCTGTTTTTTAGGAATATATTTGCTATAGCCATAATCTTGAAAAAAGACCTGTTACTGTGAATACTCATAAGACTAAACCATTTGTTTCCACTAGGATGAAGCATTCCTGGACTCCAAAAGCAGTCAGCATATATCACAGGTAATTCTCACCTATGCAAACTAGACTTCTAGGCTTTAATTGGAACTTTAGCAATGCTGGAAGTTCAAACCTGAAATTTAGGAACTTATATTTGAGAGTGGAACGGAAAGTCTTGAAGCTACTGTACTATTAATGTATAGAGTTCTCTCTCTTGCTTTTGGCTGAAAGCAGTTATTGCCTTTGTTCTTAATACTTAATTTTTCAAATTTTTAAACCTTAACTAAATCAAATGCTGTATTTTTTTTCCTCATCTTTGAAATGTTTCTTTTTCCAAGGAAATGTTTGTTTTAAAATAGACTGGACATTGTGTCGGGGCACATGTACTTAAAATTCTTTAAAGAGTTGTTTTTAAGAGCACTCATTCCTTGTATCTTTGCCTGATTGCAAAGCCACGTAGTGGTGAATGACTTTGCTAGATGAACATCAAACTGTTCAAAATGAGAAATATACAAGCTTCAGTTTACAAAGAAAAATGTTACTAAAATGCTGGTTTCTCCAGCTGGTCTTGTAATACCTTCTTGCTTTTTTTACAGAAGTAAACACTGACACTGCACCCATGAACATCAGGATATCTTTCAGTTCCATTGCAGCTGGAGTCAGTGACTTCATACTGAAAAAGGTTGGTTTTTAGACTACAGACCATGACAGTTTGTAACAGTGAAGGAACATAGTGTTTGTGTGAATATTTAGCCATGTATACTTGTAGCACAGACTTGTCTGTATCTGTGCATACACAGTTTTAACCTGCAGCTGACATGATTATGGAAAGCATTTAAGGAATTATGTAAGCTTTGTGGAAAAGAAATAATTCTGAAAAAGTCTACTAGCAGTTATGTCTACTGGAAGATAAGAGTAATGTGCTTTTTTGAACAAGAAGCCTTATTATTGGAACAATAAAATAAAATTTTGTTATAGCTGATTTTAGAGTCACTGATGCCTTGACTCTTACAATTGGGCAGTTTTCCCATAAAGTTAATGTTCCCCTTTTAATCCTGTTAATTTTACTAAATTATGTACATTACAAATTAACTGCATCACAGTATTTTAATTGTGTTTGTAGTAATTTTAAAAATAGTTGCTGGGGATAGGTCATTTAATTATACTTTATCAGTAAGAAAGCATTAGCTCTGCAGTGAGTGATAGCCAGCAAGGCCATCTGCAATGCCTTTCAGTTCACTCACTTTGAATTGTTCAGATAAAGACTGTCAAGTGCTGCCTAAATAAGGAAGGAGCTGTGGTAGGGTTAAGTGCAGTGGAGGACACAAATGGAGCATTGATTCCAGGCATGCTGGAGGGTCTGAGCTGTTTCCTGCAGCACTGAACCTTTTAAGAGTTTTCATTGTTTCCCACAAAGTATTAAAATGCGAGTGTCTGCCATTCAGGATCTCAGGGAGGATGAAAATGAGGACTGGAAAGAAGAAGAAGAAGAGGTGAGTTAAAGCCCAATAGTTTTGCAAACTACTTATTTCCTTCTATTTTTCCTCTTTAGGACAATAAACCTGTAATGATTACCTTTCTCTTTCAGATCTTCCTCAAGCCTGTTATTGAGGACAGAAATATGGAACTGGCCCGAAAATGCAGTGAATTAATAAGTGATGTAAGTGGTGGTGGCTATTTGCACTCTCATATTTGCATTTCTTCTTTCAAATGCATTTATATTCATGATACATATTTTCTCAAATATGTACAGTGTAGTGTGTGCCCATCCACGGCTCAAATAATAGAAGTCCACAAAATAATAGGAAAATTCCTCTGGTACCATAAATTATCGGCCACAGAAGAATGAACTTTTCAGAGCACTTGGATGGTACGAAGCACAAGCCCTAGAAAGGAGTGTTTCAAAATGTGGGTCTCAGGCAGAGGATGTCTGCCAGGAGAAGTCCTTGGCTGCTTTCATCAGGAAAATGTGGTATTTTTTCTGGTTGTGGCCTAATCCTATGCAGTTTAATTGGTTTGAAGAAAACTGGGTTCCAGTATACATAGCTGTAAGGAGGGAAGTTAAAAATAAAAGATAAATTTTTAAGGTTATCTTTTGTTTGTGCTGATAGATGTCCAAAACTGCTCAGCATATTGTTATTGACTATGCTTATAGGACAAATCCACTCAAATGCTAGAATATCTTTTGAAAATATTTAGGTCTTTAATTCTTGATTTAGTTACTATAGATTTTTAAAACTGCGGATCAGTTATATAAACATTATATAAACATAATAAATCAGATCCCAGACATTTTAAATTTGAGTAGATCTGATTGCTTCAATGTAACAGGATCAGATTTATCCTTTTTTTTTCTGTTTCTCTCTGGGGCAGTGTGTTGAAAATAATGTTCTCCCTTCATGGGGACACTCTTTACACCACATGGGTGTAAAGAATGATATTTCTCCTGTGAGAAAGCTGGGACAGGAAAGGAGACCTTCCTGAGGAGAGAGTGACTTGCTTCAACAAATGTTCTAAAGAAACCGAAAAATGGCGTCTGGCTCGTATTGTAATATGATATTTAGGTTCGGGTTGTTGATTTAATGGGAATAGAACGTACAGAATCTACATTTTAGGTATACATTTTTAGGGGTTGTGTGTCAGAAAAGAAGAGTTAACTCAGAAGAGCAATATCTGGGATGTGAGAAGTTACACATGTGTGGGATGTGTTACAGTGCTGGCTTGAAATTGTGACTTGACAAGGTCAAAGTTTCCTCTTTCCTCTTGTCCATATACTTCCTACTTCAGTTTTCACAGAAAGAGTGCTGAAAATTGGATAGATCCTTAAGAGAAGCTACCAACATGACTCCTTTGTAAACTCAACCTACTTTAGGAAGCAGTAGAGGTTAATAATATTTTTACTGATAGATATATACATGCTTTCTTTGGGAAAAAGGGCATATGGTGTGTTAAGTGCCTGTCAACTCTTGTAAAGGCAAAAATGAAAATGGACCTGAAGCACTTATATGACCCAATATACATTTATTGCATCCATGCAGCTTCTTTCTAAACATGGTCACTGTTCTTAAAGAAAAAAACTCCTTGAAAAATGCTGAAGAAATCTTTCTTTAACTGAAAAGGAATTATTACTCTGCTGTGTACCCATTAGGAGTAATGTTGGCTGTGGCTCTTAATTAATGGATAAATGGAGTGGCTGTATTTTCTTGGACTTTCTGCAGGGGCTTGAGAGCTAAGGTGAATAGCTAAGTCAAGCCAGGCTTCTCCTGCTTATAATGGTTCAGGGATGTGGGCTTTTGCTGAAAACTTGTGATGCATTTAGCCTGCAAGTGTGTTAGATTTTCCTTGAGATATGTCAGGCATAATGGCAAAGTGTTATTAATGCTTTCAAAGCAAGAACAATATATAATGGTCCCGACCAGTCTAATTTCAAAAAAGAGGCTCTTTGTTTAAAAATAACATCCAGCTTTGGGGCTTTATTCAGCCTCTGATTAAATCAGTAGGTATTTCTTCATTGGCTCAAATGGAATATGCATAGAATATGAATTTTGTTTCCCAGAATTTTTGCTATAGTGGAATTTCTCATGACCAGTGAAGTCCTTTGTACCTGGGTATAAATTCCTCACCCTGCACATTTTGTTGTGGAGACCAATAAATTGCAAGGAGTTTGCATTCTTACCTTCAGTTTTTTGACTTGCTGACATTCAGTACTTTTAATATATTCCTTATCCTTTTTAGCGTGAACCTTTCCACATACTACTATTTGTATGGATTTGTGATTGGTGTACATTTGTACATTTTATTTGTACAATGGTTTTACAACACTTTCGGTTTGGCCCTTTAGATGACCTTGGGGGAGCAGCCTGTGTCCTTGCTGGCCACGAGACTGGGTGATTGTCCTTTTCTGATGGTGGAGCTGTCAGCACATCTGCTCCATCAGAATGCAGAGCCAGGAGTGCACATGCCTGAGATACTGGGGTTGTATTATGCTTGCCCTGCATTCTTTGCAGGCTGACTTTAATTTGGCAATATGGTTTTGAAAAAGTGTTACACTGGCAGTCCTTGGTTAATCTCTAATTGCCAGCCTTGAGCTGTACATAGAGGAAGCTGTGAAGTGTTTATGTGCTCCCGTTCTTGAGAAAATCCCCAATTTCATTTGAGGTTGGCAGATGTTTGTTCTGTGGCTGTGATACCCCCTGGATTGTTTCTCTCAACAGTCGATCCATTTAATCTCCCTTATTATGAAATTTTATTCCACAGATGTTTTCAAAACTGTCATGTGTGTTTGATTTCTATGAATTGCCTTCCTTTCCAGGCCTTTTCTCTTCCACATTGAAATTGAGCTCGTCCATTTGCTTGTAGTGTATTTTCATCTCTTCTTTGTTTTGATTATGTGGTGGGATGTTGTCAGTATTGTTATAAGCAGAGATGGGAACAATTATAGAAGGTAATTGACCAAACTATTATAATCCTTTTGGAATGGCAGACATCACCTTCTGAAGATTCTGCTGAATTGTGGTGATGAGTGGTACCAGAACTTCTTTTTCTCTAAAACAAAAAATAGGACTGCTTGCTATTTATCTGTCCTTGCACAGAGTCCAATTTAACTTTAGGATGTCTGTGTTATAAAGCAAAGTCCAAAAAGACCTAGAGCCAGTAGTGGAAACACTGTGCCAAACTAACAGGGTTTTGACTACCTAATTCTGGGTACAGCTGTTCACCTGGACTCAGAGCATTTAACTCAAGAGGACCTTGAGTTTGAAATTGTGGGAGATTGCTAAAATACTATGTATTTTAATAGTAATACTGTATGCCTGCTGTTTTCTCTTGCTTTACTCTAGATTCCTATGGCCTCAGAGAAAGGATTCTGTATTAGATGAATCTGTGGTCTGACACAGTCCTTAGTCTTATAAGAGATTATAAGTTCAGAAATGTAGGTTTGGAAAGTGAATACTTAGTGGAAGGAAGTTTCCTTTTGTTCTAGCATAAAAGCTCGACAAGAAGGTTCAGACATTTTTTGTTGTTTTTCTAAACAAAAGTAGGTATTTTAGATATGACAGTTCTACAGTGGATCTTGGCAGGATGACTCTTGACATGGTTACACCATTGATGTTAAGATTATTAAAAATAGCTTTCGAGTATATATTCATATTAAAGTTAGATGAGCATGTGTCCCTGAATAAAAAGAATGGAGGCTGCTTGGATTATGCTGTTACCATTGGAGTCTTTCCTTTAGCCCACATTCTCCCTTCTGTTTTTCCCCCTGAAAAAAACTGGTGGAACAGGCCATGGGTGAGATGAATTTTCTTGGTGAATCAGGAAACTTTGGCTTAAAGGTTGGATGCCTTTGTTTTATAAAGTTGATCTTCCCATATAATATCCATTAAGAATAAAATGCAGCTTGAAACTTAATGTTTTGGTGGTTGTCTAGGAATTTTAATCCACTTTACTGGATAGTTGTGCCGCAGTCAGAGTTAGTTTTATGATGAATCAGGGAGAAGAAAAGGATCTGGAGAGAACTATGAAAAATTGGGCCTTTAGTGAGCTATTGAACTTCAGAAGTATATTGAAAGAGCAGTGGCTCCAGGCCATCATTTGCAAATTCTTCCTATTTGTTTTTTTCTCAATGCTTACCAGATCTGCTCAACGTAAACAGCACATTTTGTGGTGAGGGGTAAGCCACTTGCAGGAAAAATTTCCTATTCAATATTTAAGACATCTGAGTTTGTAATTACTGACTTTGAAGAGGAATATCAGCTTCTCTGCCTGTTCATTCCATTCATTGGTTATGTTTGAATCATAGGCAAGCTCTTGAACATCTTCCTTGCATTGTTTACATTAAGTATGTTTTATAACTGCAGGTGTCATGACTTCATTATACTTGTCCTGTTTCATCTTCCATCTTTCTGATTCCAAGCAATGTGGACAATACTGTAGTAGAATAGAGTTTGTTGGATCAGAATTTGACCAAACATTTTTTTATATGTTCTCTCTAAATTGCATATTTGAGTCTGTATGCATTTTGTGGCTTCTATGGGTTACTATAACAAATGTGAATAATAAAGGATTAAGGAGGTGGCATTAGTCATTTACTGCTTTCAATTCTTTTGAAAGCATGACTTCTATAGCAGAACAGCTTTGTTTCTTCTAGTCATGTTCTGTCATTCCCCCAATTAAGAGATACCTTAGGAAGCTTTCGTGTTTGATTCTTGAATGTAATTATTGCTCTGCAATTAAAATGGATATAATTACAGTCAGCTTTCAGATATCTGTGGATGATTTATCTAAGTTGTGAGCAGCAAGACTCTGTCTCCTCTGCCAGAGTCACAGCTTTACAGGAGTTTCTACTGGGAATGCCATCAAACTCACCCAGTAGACAGTCAGCTCTGTAAACTTCCATTACATATGTGCAGGTTGGACAGTAAGTGCCTGCTCATATTTATAATAAAAATGTCTTTTTTTGTGTTGCTCTGTGGTTAGCTGTGTGTATGATGTCACACACAGGTTATATGAACCACTGGCTTTGTGGAGTAAAGTCATGACACAGTAATGTTACCCATTGTTCACCAAAAGGTTTTCTTTGAGAATAGACTGTAATCCACAAAAGCACACAATGTGATTTGGCAGCGATGTGTAGATTCTTTCAGTAGTTCTAATCTGAATGAGGTCAATATGAAGCAAAATTGGTTCCTGTGTGAGGATAAAGTAGTCATGAATTTGAGATGAATTTGGCATTATGTAATCCATTTTTCAGTAGACACAAACTTTGCCTTGGATAGCACAGGAGCTGATTCTCTGTAAGCTGCCATCCTTCTCATAAGTTTTCCAAGTCCCTCTAGAGGAGTGTACACTAGAACTTGTGATATCCATTAAGGATTCAGAGAAAGAGGATATTAAGGCTGCATATTTCTGTAATGCTCAGATGCAGATCATATTGCTTCTGTCAGTGCTTGTCAGCAAGTCTAGAGTACATAAATTCGAGCTGCTGTTAGGCAGAATGTGAAAATGAGGTTAGAGAAATGGTAGCAGATAATAACCATGAAAGCTTAGTACTAAATAATTCAATTTGCATTGATCTAAACAATTCTCTTTACAAAGAAAATGTCACTGAAAGCATCTAAGGCTATCCATGTAAAGTGTCTGTCGTTAAAACTTAGTCCATCTCATCATAATTCACCATCTTTCTTCATGCAGTTTGTATATGATTGTTCCTACATGTTAACCATGTCCATAGATTTCATCCTTCTTGCAGTCTCACTAATACAAACAATAACTCTGACTTCAGCAACACTCATTTGATTATTATACCTGCCCATACTGTTTGCCCCATTGTAAGAAAATGGTTGGTTGCTTTAAAAAAAGCATTTTTTTTTTGCCAAATATATCATAGAGTTCTTCTTTTTTTCCCCCCATGATTTCCTATGTGCATACACATTTTAAAAAATGCCTCAATTTAAAATTTGGTTGGTATTAAAGAAATTCTGTAATTACTTGAATGCCATGACTGTTGGGTGCTTTGTAGGCAATGGTTTGGCAGTGGCCTCCTGAATTTATTCATATAACTCTTGGATTCATAAAGGGGTATTTGATGATGTTATACAGATTCTGTACTTGCTAGGTCTGTGTTAGAAGTTAAACAATTTTTTATCTTTGAGATCAAGGATCAAGGAGATCAATTATTCGATTCTTCTTTCTTCAGAGATACTAAAACATCTACAACAGTCGTGAAAATGTGCTCTAGATGTAGAGAAAAATCCTGTCTTTTTCATCTATATTATTAAAGAGTTCTGTGACTTTTACATAGGCCTGGTAATGTGCATGAGAACTTGTAGCTTCCCTTTATGGTTTAATTTGATCCAGCCGGAGGTATTTGCAAGCTGCCCAGCACAGTATCCATGAATAAAATAAAATAGAAATAAAAAAATAAACAAAAATAACCAATGTTTGCTTTCATGTGTGTGTGTGTGTTGTAAGAACAATTAAACTTCTTTTTCTACTCTTTGCAGGTACACTATAAAGAAGAGTTTAAAAAATCTAAAGGCAAGTGCATATTTGTACCTGACACCCCGCAGCTAAAACATGTGAAAAGCCTTGGTGCTTTTATTTCTGAGGTAAGATCTAAAAGACTGAAAAATTTTCTTGGCTTCTTATCCTTCCTAAAATCTCTTTCAATTGAGTACTGTGATTTTTAGCAGGGGAAGGATGGCTTATTTCAAATAATAATTCTGTTTAAGGCTGAAGTGAATTCAAAGGCTGTAATTAATGTATACTGCAATGTGAATAATAACAATAATTTGGAATTACATGACACTTTTATTTTGGGATTTGAAGATACTTTATTAATGGTTCTGAGCAAGTCATAGCTATCCCATTTTATGTTTGGATAAACTGAGGAATAGGAAAAGAAAGTAATTTTTCTGAAGTGATGAGGTTTGCAAATTACACCTGTGCAAAATTTCTCTGCTGTGGAGATTTCACAGCCTGATAGCAAACAGAAAAGAGACAAGGAACATGTTTCCATGCTATCATCCCTGTCCTCCTTCAGCAAGAGGGCTGGGGCAGACATCAGGTCAGTGCCATCTGTGCACTTGCATGTCTGTCTGTCTGTCTGTCTGTTTATCTATCTATCTGTCTGTCTGTCTGTCTCTACATACCTGTGACATGTGCACAAACACAACTGTGTGGCAAAGAAAGATCAACAGCTTCCAAAGTGTCAGAGCAGCATTTACTGCCAGCTCCTCATGTCCCAGGTGCTGTAGGATTGCATCTCTGATTATTTTCCACAGGTAAAAACAGCAACAGAAGTTTCACCAGATAGAATTTTCACCTTTATTTAGGAATCGCTGGTTCTGAGTGACTTTTCTGTCACTATGGCCCTTCAAAAAATTACAATTTTGGTGTCTCATTTTTTGAGCCACTTTTATGATTATAATAAAGTCCCAGTATAGCTGTCTGAGGTTACATAACTTATATACATTCTAAATTCTCTTTATGATATGCAACAATTTGCTCTGTAGCTTTCAATATAAATGCATCTAATGAATGCTTTTCTTGTATTTAGCTTCCTGTTTTCTGGGAAGGAGTGGCATGTCCCAAGGGAAGTAAATCTCATGTAATTGCATTATATAAGAGACAGACTATTGTAGTCTACAGAAATACAGTATATAGAGAGTATTTATCTACTCTGTCTGATTCCAGAGAATCTGCTGCTAATTATTAATCAAATATATAAAAATATTCTAAAATTTAAAACCCTGTAGGTTTGATATTACCACACTTTTGAGCACTCTGTTTATTGCAGCATTACCTGAAGCCAATGATGTGATGGATGGTTTATCTTGTAAATTACTGACCTCTAGTGTCCCATCACCTGTATTTGCAAATCTTGGGCACTAACATTCTTAACAGCACATCCACTGCAGTGAAAAAGAGCCCTCTGTTTTGAGCAATGGCAACAAATGTTACAGCAAATTATTGATATGTATATGTATAATGCATTTGGGGAATTAGCCTCTAATGAAGAACTGTGTATTTCACAGTAATTAAGGGACATTAGACAGTATAATTGAAAATATTTTTGGTATTTATGATTACTTTTACAACAATGTTGCCGTTTTTGTTTTATGAACTTGGAAGACTTAGATCTGAAGCAAAAGCCTCGCACATTTTGAGCTATTGTTCTGGTATCTCGTGTAAAAACCCTTTGTACTGCCAATACTGAATACTGGAGGAAACACAGGATAAATAAAACGTAATTTAAAAATGAGTCTGGAGTAGGAACAGATGAAGCAGAAATGATGGCAGGCAAGCAAACTTCAGTGTTCCTCCTCTTGCTAGCTACATTTAATTGCTGCTACTTATTAGTTAGTAAAATGTTTATGATTCGCCTCTCATTTGCTCCCATGGTTCAGGACTCTGGAAAAGAGAAACAGGAAAAGTAATTTTTGGATTTGAAAATGATCTGAGAAAGGATAGAAGAAATGGCCTTATTTTGTTTTGTAATTCTACCAAAATTATTGAATTTATTTAGTAGATATTTTGCATTGCTTTGTGAATTAGGCACATCCCCATAAAGTATAATTTAAATATGTTTTCCTAGAAAGTTAGTTAATGAAATTTTTCCAGTTCTGGGGTATGCCATTTTACTTACTAGAAAAAATAAGTAGCATGTTTACTGTATCTTCATTTCTGCATTTTATGTCACCTTTTTCTGCCCTCTAGGTGAAATATAAAGGAGCTGCTAAGAAAGACCTTTCCAACTCTCTCTATCAGCAGATGCCAGCCACAATTGACAGTGTATTTGCCAAAGAATTAATGCACCTTCAGAGCAAGGTACAACTTTAGAATTGCAACAATGATTTTTAGATTAACTGTGTGTCAGAGTAAGTACACTTTAAACAAAATATTTGAAGGACGCTTGATTATCTGCTTGATTTATTTTTGAGCTTATCATCCAGAGTTTATCACCATAGCTTCTTAAATTCAAGAACTACTCATTTTTAAAATGTTGACAATTTTATTCATGTTTATTACATATGCATTTAAAAGTTGGTAGTGCATTCCTTGATCCAATGAAATCCATGAATGCAATAAGTAATTATTGAATTCAGTGACATTGCATGGTCCTTATAGAATGGGTGAATCTTATATAACTTTGTCTAGTTGGGTGTTGTATTAGCTATATAAAATATTTGATGCTGAAGGCAAAAGAAAGGAAAACTGCTTTAATGACTTCTAAAGGCACTTAGTGGTAGCAGTAAATGTATTTCTGATGATCTGCATACTACTACTTACAACAAAATTTATACAATTAAAATATGAAATCAAGTATATTGAATGTAGTGTAAAGCTTGTAAACAACCAGAAAAACAGTAAATTCCTGTTCAGTTGCCTTCAAGGATTCAAAAATATAATACCCTAAGAGTAGGCAGGTGACCCTTCACTTCCACTGACCCCAGGGGAATTGTGAATGTTAAGCATGTGTAATAAGAATGAGGCTCCAGATTTTCATTGTTGCTCATGAGAATTACATTGAATAGATGGTCATGGCTTTCTGTCCACCAAGCATTTCCATGGTTTTCTTGTTTTTGCTTTCTCCTCTCTTAAATATATCAACTGCATATAGTTGAAAACAGCCAGTGTGTGAAGGGAGCACGCTTCTAAATCCATAATATTGATTGTATCTCAATATGCATTCTTGTAATGCAGTGACACTTTTTCAGACAAAGGAAAATATTAATAAAAAAAGAATGGACTAAAATTTCAGGACAGCTTGTGGAGAAATGTTTTGATATAAAACATTATGTTAATCAAGGCTATATTAAGCAAATACAATAGCACATTTTAGTTAGTTTCCAGAATTTGAAAAGGAACATATACACACAAGTTAAAGCACCACAGTAGCTGAAATGGCATTAATGTGACATTTCATTGTAAAGTGAATGATTAGAGGAATTATAGTAAAAATAAATTGGGAATTAAACTTGTATAACATTTTTAAGCCATTAGCTTGATTTATAAAACATTAGTTAACCATTTTGCCACATATTTACTCCCAAATTCATTCCAAATTATTGCATTCTACATTAGTTTACACAAATGAGGTTAATTAACATTGGTGATGTGGCAGAAAAGATAAATAACTGAAATGAAAAATAAAACTATTGGTTCATAAAAAAAACCCTTTTAAGGAAAAGACTGACATTTTTATTTGGTAGTTTTTGAAGGCTTTCTTCAATCATCCAACAGTTCTAGAGAAAAAAAATATGCATATAGACTGAGTTATATTTAAGCACAAATTTTTTCCCACAAAATTCATACTATCCCCTTAGGAGTAGATGCATTATAAATCATAATATACCGTAAAACCTAAAGATACGCTGACACATTTTTCCAACTTGTGGTTTACTGCTGCAATGGACCTGAATTTAATGCTACTTTGAGAGAGCTCTCAGGGGATTTTCTAGTGAAAAATCTTCTCCACAGTATTCAAATCTAATCCACATTGTGCCTATCACTGCAGTACCTAAGTAGCTAATACAAGGATTTCAGATTTCATCTGGGTCAGGGTATGGCAGAGGGGGCTTCTGCTGCATCTGTCTAGCTGGGATTGTGAATTTACAGGTCATCATTTCAGGAGGAGAATACAGATATTCTGCAGGAAGGAGAGAGAACAGCACCAGCTGCCCATTGCTCCAGCTCTGCTCCAAAAAGGCTGCTGCAGACACAGAATTGCAGTCTATTTTTGAGTTACAGTAACCTGATTTTAAAATAGGTGCTGATTTCCCGAGAGGTGGAAAATATGAGTGTTTGTTCTCCCTACCCACATTAGAACAAATTTACACCTTTGTCTTCCTTTTCATTGTTCTTGGATGCAGTGCTGGGCTGGAATGCTTTTTGTGGGCAGATCAAGCAGGACTCTCTTTGCTCTGTGGTGCCATGTTCTTGGCAGGATCCACAGCCTCACATGCCAAGCAGGTGCACTGGGACTAGAGGATCATGGTGGGGAAGAAAGAGACCCTGACAAGGGTGCTCCTGGCAGAGGATCTCCTTGCACAGGAGTGTCCCCCACAAATGGGCTCTCCCCTGATCCAAAGTTTGCTCCTGAAATGGTGCTCCTGTGCTGCTGCTGCCCAGCAGCCTTGTCTTCAGCCTACCTAGATCTCCCCCCAGTTTAGTAATTTGATACACAATTTCAGATCACACACATGATTTAGGAACTTGGAGGCAAGGAAGGGAAATATCCTGTTTGTCTGAAGGAGTTATACCCCACCTGCAGCTGCCCTCCACTGTCCTCTCCAGAGCCAACAGACTGCCACAGCACCACTGACCACATTTGCATTCTTTAGCTCTTGTGGCAATTGTCAGTGATTTCAGCTGAGCCAGATCTCCTTCTTCAGGGCTCCTGCCATGCAGTGTCAGCACTGACATCAGGATCTTGCTGTAATGGAGAGTATAGACCCTGACACATGTGGTTCTCTTCCTGTGGAGCCTGAATCATACTCAATTCTGTCTTCAGGAAAGCCTGAAACAAGAGTTCCTGCTGGCTTTTGCATGAAACCCATGTTTGCTCTTTTGTGTTTTATGTAGAACTTTCCTTTATGAAAAAGGAAATAAATACCCACAAAGAATGACATCTATCCAAAACTGTAAAAAAAAAAAATTAAAAAAAATCTCCATGCTGTTTATGGGAAAATGTTTCAGGAAAATGAAAAAGAAGTTTGACAGTCCCACATACTTGGGTGGCTTTTATAATTTAAGTTTTTTTCCTCTTCACACAAAATTTGACTGTGGCCTTCTAAATGCCTTTCTTGAGAGCGAGCAACCAGATTTCCTCCCTCTCTCACTTTTGTCACAGTTGTCCCTAGGGTACACTAAAAAGAGGAGAAGCCCCTGTCATCACTGAATAACTTCACTCTCCTTACCAGCCTACAAAGCTCTCATCAATTTCCCTGCTTCTTGCAGTGAGAAGATAAATTAGATGAGAGCAGTCTAGGTAGGGAGCCTTCATTTTGATTTTTCTGAAAGGAAATGGAAATTTTTGGAGAAATTGCAGTATTCCTGTGGAAAATATTGCTGAAAGAAAATTTCTGATCATTGCTAGCTCTGTGCCAAATCTTTTTCTTGTCTGAAGATCAGTATGCTGAATACTTCCTTATGTAAAACAATATTTTTCTTAGTACGGTGTCACAAACAATGATAAAGGTATTTAAAATTGTTTGGGGAAAACAGTGTTGAAAAAAAACCAAGCACTTCATCCCTTTTTTCATCACTTTATTTCTGCCATAAGAAATTACTGCACTGTTTTTATTCTTATCTAAAAGGGATAATCTAAAGCAAACTGAAAGCAGTTTAATTTTCTACTTTGCACAGGGTAATATCTCAAAGAGTCAATGTTGAACAGTATTTCCTGTTTCTTTATAAAGGTGATGAGCCAAGACAATCTTAAACAATGTTTTCAACTTCCAGAGGAAGTTTCAGAGGGTTTTTTTACTAGAATAAAAATTTTGGTGTTTATTTCATAATTACGAATCATATTACACATTATCAAATTGTTTTATGCAATTTTTCAGGGTTTTTTGTGGTAGGAAATGTCACATTCAATATTTCCTCTCTTGTATGGTGGCAGGTATTAGTCTTCTGGTCTTCTGTAGTTCAGTTTTACACAATTACATTGGATAATCTAATTCTCTGTATGGAGATTAAAGTGATGTTTTTGGTGTGCTTGAACATTTCCTTCTACAAAATCCTACTTTGTGGATATTAAGTTCAGAGCACATCTTACTAACTATAAATGGAAATAAAAATAAAAATGTAATTGTGTTTAATGTATGCCAAAACAGGGGGTCAGTCAGAGCTGGGTTAAAAGAACACAAAACCTTCCTTAATGCTGCTTCCTTTTGACACATGGGTGTAAAAGAGAGAAAAAAAAATAAAAAATGAGTACTTACAAATTGGTTCAATCTGAAGTCATACCTACTTAAATAATTGCCTTGTATTTCTCAACTTAATAAATGGCACCACTACAGGGTAAAGGTTGTGTCAGTGACCTATAATGCTTGATCTCTGTGTAGAGTAGTTTCATATGTAGATTTGATTAAGGAAATTCAGTTTAGCTAAAACTTGAAAATCAACATGAGTTGAGAAACAAATGTATGCATACTAACCTATTAAATAATGTTACTAAGAATATTGATGAAATAATGATAAATATTTTTTCATGCTCACTTGGAAGCGATTTACAAATCTGGGAATAGTTCTGCACTAAACTGTTCCAAACTAAACTAGACAGCCATTGAACCCCTCCTAGCCTAGGATTGCAACAAGATACTTCAGTGAGTTAATGAAAGTAATGGGAAAAGATAGGAAGAACAGATGCCAAAGCAAGTAAAATATTGCTACATTAAGCTAAAGAAATGGTCATCCTTTCCCAAGACAGCGGATACTCATAATTTCTGCTCAATTTCTCATGCTGAGAGTTGATGTGTTACTATGTTTTCATATCTTGGTTACATAGCCCATTCACCAAGGGAAAAATAGAGCTCTTGAACCAGCAAAATGGCAATGTAATAAAATATCTGTAAATTAGTAGATTTTGGAAGTAACTATATGGGTCTTCTGTTCATAATGGCATTAGGTGGGGAACATCTTAAAAATGACAGTGTAAGCAAGGAGCATTAGCAAAAGAGTTTTTGTGGCATATGTTTGTATAGTAATTCCACTTTTGTGGGGAATCATTTGTTAGTGGTGCTTCAGTCGTGTTAAAGATTATGTGCTTTTCCATTTGCAAGATGTAACCAGTGTAGGCAAGTTAGGGACTCTTTGTTTCACTGTCAGTTGTGTTTGTTCCTGTGGAGGGCTGATTGTGCTAGACTGGATGACGAGGTGGCACATTTTAAGGTTCCTGATTTGATGCTTTTGTTCACATAGTAGCAGTGAAAAAATACCCTTCCCCCCTTCTTGTCTTAATCTCTCAGCCTGTATATCATTTTGTAATCTGAGATAGTCAGGGCAGATAGTAACAAATTGCTTTGGGCACACTGCTCTGTAACTCAGATGAAATCTTGCTTTAAACAAAACCAGATACAGCATTTTCTCACAATTCTAGTATCCTGTCCTAAAAGAGTCTGAATCTCTGTAGTTGAGAGTTTCCGTCTCAAAACTTTCACAGTATTCTTTTATTGCTGCCATGGGTTTTTGTGTCAATCCTTTTCCTCCTAATCAGCTTTCTATCTTATTTAATACTTGCTGTTTTCTTATGGATTATTTTAATGCTTGCTCATGAGAGCTATTAGAGAATGAATTTTCTTGATGCTTGCTACTTTTTAGGCATCGAAACCTGGTGAATTTTCCTTAATATAAGCCCAAGAGCTTCTGACAAGGATAAGTGTAAGATCAGCTTTTCAGGCAGTTGTAGTATGTGAGTGTGTGTGTGTAAGTATAACACAGTACAGTGAAAGATGGATGAATGCCCAACAGTGAGTTCCGGTTCTATTATAAAAGTAAAGGTGTTTATAAATTCACAATTCAATTCCATTTTCATTTACCATGATGACAATTGAATGTAAATATTATTTTTCTTTGTGAACTTGGGGCTAAGTCAAAATGTGTATTGTGCTGGTTGCTTCCCAACAGTGGAAGAAATAGAACTTTGGGCAACGGGTATATAATAAACAGTAAAACTGTTTGTTTATGACAAATGTATAAAATATTTTTTTTCTCTGAAAATGGAGAATAATTATATAGCCGATTGCTTCAAGTGCGTTTAAAAAAAAAGTAGCTTTTGATTAGGTTTTCTCTGGGCTGTCTTCTCACCTTGTTAAGCTTAATTTTCTGTGTTTATGTATTACTATTTCTTTTCCCTGTCTACTCATGCATCTGTTGCAATAACATATGCAGAGAAATCTCACTGCTGCCTATGCCTCATGTGTCTCTGTTTTGGGTGGAAGCTTCTCTCATTTCAGTGTAGACTCATTTCAGGTAGACTATGCCACTAGGTTTAATCTAGCTCATGTTATTATACCTGCTCTTCTCAGGTCACAAAAATATAATGTTGCTCTTTTCAGGTTCTCTATAAACAAAAACATGATGCTGAGAAAGGATTTTCAGACTATGCACGTATGAGGGAACCTCCAGATGTTAAACATGCCATGGAAGTCAGTAAACACCAGAGTGATGTAAGTACTCCCCCATCTGAAATGAGTGTGTGTGTGTTTTGGGTAGATACATCTGTTACAGCTTACTGAAATGAATTGGGCATGGAATATTTCCATATTTCCTTAGTTGCTATTTTTTATAAATTATTTGCTCTGGAGTAATTTAGAACATGGTGTTTCTATAAAATGTGCTATGAGTAACAATATGTGAATTTTATTCTGAATGCAGTGGAAAATGATTGTTATTATTTATCAATAGTAATGAAGTGCTATCACTTTGAAATAAAATTGCAGGCACAGGTTTTGTTTTTTTTTTTTCACAGTTGTAGCTACTTTTAAAGTGTATAAAGTTCTTTGTTTAAATGAACACCAGTTTTGTTTCAGTGTCTTCATCTACCAATACTTGGGTATTTCTTCAGGGGTGCTGTGTAGAGGAGACAAGTGAGCTGTTTCTGCCCTGCTCTTGCACATTTTATACATATTAATAAGTTTGTTCCTATCTCCTGAATATGTATCAAGTGAATTTTCCAAAGAATTTAATAGACTAATAAATTATTTATTTTACAGAATTTGAGGTGTTCAGTTTGATGCCTGCAAATACCATTTGACCAAAGTATTTGTTCTTGTAGTTTTATTTAGACAACTTACAAGTAACTAGGAGTATTTAGCAATATTTTGAAAATTGAATGCTTTTTTTTCAGCTGCTTGTTAGCTTCTTGAAGCTCTTAAGGTTTATTTCACAATATAAAAGCCTAATAATGGTATTTATATTTCTTATTAGAATCAGGTCAGGTTTGATTTCATGGTCAAGCTAGCAAATTCTAGCTCAATGCATCATTGCTTGGGGCAGAAATGCTGCCCAGATTAGAGTCTTGAATGATACAGACACAACTTTGAAGAAAAATTTATGTTAGCTTTAGGTTTTGTAAAAGCTTACTTGTGAGAAAAACAAATTTTAGGAGAAGATTGGTTAAAATTGTGATGCCATTTTAAGGGGTACACAAAGCTTTTAAGAACAGCTGATGTGTAACCTTATTCCATTCTTATTTAGGTAACCAAATCAATTGAAGTAGGCATATCGTTGTACAACACTTTTCTGTGAGATAAACGGGATATTTGTTTTCCGCTAATAATGTAGAAAACATAGCTTGGGTGTTCATTTTAAATTATCTTAAATTTATCCCATCTTCTCCTACTAACAGTGCAACAAACACTCTAAGGTTATGTGGGTTGAAATCTAAATGTCAGTGCTAGATGTATGTCTGTGTGCAGAATCTTGACAGCTGGCTGCTGATTAAAAGGCTGCTGGAAAACTTCAGGGAAGCATTATGTTTGAAGAATAATTTTTTCTTCTGCTGGGAAATACCTGCAATGGAATTCCCAGCAGTAATTTGCAACCTGCCTTGATTACAGAATTCCCTCTTCCTGTCAAACACTGTCCATTTCTGCTGTTGGAAGCATCAGGGTGTCATGATGACAGAGCCTAGGAGCTGGGCATGTGAATGCTCTCCCCAGAAGCAAGAGGTTTTTTATTTACCTAGCAGTAGGAATGATGGTGAACTGCTAGGAAAGGAAATAATGCTGGAAAGAGAGATGTGAATTCCTCTCAGAGAAGGGACTAGGAGGAATATGAGACAAGTTCCTGTAGCAAATTCATCATAGTTTGAGGGTTAGAATGCTAGTGCAAAACCTATTCCCCTTCTACAGCTGTATATCACCTGCTAATAGAATTAAGGAGAGCAGGTTACAGATGTGAGGATAAATGAAATTCAGTTGTTTCATCTTTCACCCTTAAAACAAGCAAAAAAAAAAAGAAAAGAAAAGGAAATGAGGGAAAACATGGGAGGGAAGGATCTTTTGATAAATGAGAACTTTTAACAGCATGTTAGGAATAATGAAAAAATATGAGGGAAATTATTTTCAGCCTGAGCAAACTTCAAAAAAATCAAATAAGTCATTCAAATGCAACACAAAACTCTAACCAGTTAGTTTAATGTGTTTAAGAACTGATTCTTTCTGGTTGCTCATGAGCAGCTGCAGCACAATAGACGAATACCTATCACACACAAAGGAGCAAGTTATGTAAGTCTGGTTATTGTTCAGCAGAAGCACTCATCTCTTGTGGGTAATATTTGGGCATCATGGTGAATAGCTGAGGATTTCTTCTTTTGTAGGTACAGGTTTAATTAAGAACCATGTGAGTTTTTATCTTGGAGTCAGAACATGGAACAGTGAGCATCCCAAATATGGAGCATTTGTCTTTCCAAATTATTTCAGGGTATCTGTGTAATCACAGCTTTGAAAGTGCAGAGAAAAAGAAGGGAAGCTATTGAGCAGGTAGAAGGACAGAGCTCTTTTATCCACCATTCATTACAGTTTACCAGTGGGGGCAGAAAGCACATTTACCTACAATGCTCTGCCAATTCAATTCAACCTTTACAGGGAGAGTTTGCATCTAAGAGGATTAGGATGTGTTTAAGAGTATTTACTCAGCCTTAAAATATAGTTGACATTTTTACTCAACTTTGTGAAATGTGCCATTTCCTTAAAAAATTAAAACTGTATTAGCTCACCATACATTTGTGCTGACATTTGGAAACTCTCATGTGCTGTAGGCCTTCACATCACTTTGAATATCATTAACATTCTGGACATGTTAATGGGCATCATTAATACATTTGGGCAGAAACTGGGTTACAGGGAAATACTGTAAAAGCTCCTGAACAATGTGATCATGTCTAATAAAATAATTTTTCTCGTTTTTTACTTAGGCTGAAGAAAATTGCTCTCAAATGAACACAAGTAACTTTTCTAATGACAGAAAATATACTTTAAAAAGAATTGAAATACTACATAATGCTTGAAAGGAAGCATGTTTATCCAAACCAGAGTACTTTTCTCTATAAATTGTGTTTGTGTTTTGTGACGTGAATGTTAATGATGTGACTTTGGCACACAAAATCATATTGAGAAGAGCGAAGTAGGGACCATCGGCCTGCTTTGTCTGTGCTTAGCTGATCAGTTAACTCGTCTGGAAGTTTCCAAACTTGGGACCAAAACTAAGTGGTGGTCTTAAAACAATATCATGGCACATTTTTGCTTTGTGTGTATCTGAGTATCATGTGAATGGAAGGATGTAGTTGGATGGTGAAACGACCTGACAACTAAATGTCTAAAGCAAAGGAACCACTTGCTGTGTTGTGTCTATGTGGAAGCTGGACATAGCATTTGATGAAGGTGCTCAAAGCTGTGCATAACAGTTTTGTCTGTTCCATGACCTGGTCCATCACAGGGCATTTTGAATAGGAAAACAATGTTAAATATTTGTACAGCAGATTAAATGTTCTGCTTTATTAAAATGACTGATTCTCCTCACAGCATTACATGATATGAAATAAGGATGTGATCTTCTGACTTTACAAATAAGAAAACTGCAGTACAGTCATCTATGGACATTGGAAAGGCGGTTTGCACATCTGATTTTAAAGCCCTGGTATCTTTTCTCTTATCTACAAAGAGGGCTTTTTTAGAAATATTAGTTGACAGCTGGGCAAACTTCTGATATGTATATATGCACTTTCCATTCCACATGAGGTCAGTAATGATAATTTATATGTTTCACTCATCATCTAAATTTGAATATTTAAGATGTCTGTATTTTCTTAGGAGTAAGTTGTTTTTAATTTTCAGGGTATAGTGCAGTCACAATCCCCACACACAAAAAAACTACATTCTTTCTGATAAGACCAAATCAGCAGATCTTAAAGTGAATGTGCTTAAACACTATCAGTAACATGCACAAATGTTAATGTTTCTTTTGGTGCAGATCATGGTAAATTCAGGCTTCTCCTGTCTCTCTGTTCAGTATCTGTGTTAGAAAAATCACCATTCACTGACTAACTTTCTGCTGACAGTGGTTGTCAACAGCAAGTCCCCCTGGACCACTTGCAACTGGTGCTGAAAATGATGTTTACTCCTGGTGTAATTGGGACCAATCAATTTTTAGGCCCATTACTGGAAAGGATGACTGCATCAATCTGTAATGGGCCAGAAATGTGTTTGTCTCTTTTACACAAGCTGGAAAACAGTTTTCAACATTATTTGAGCAGGAATTAGAAAAGCTGTTGCCAATGATGATTGTCACCAGCTAGTCATTTTCTTAGTGTTGATGGACCCCAAAGTGTAGATGAGAGGAAAGAGGGCAGAGACACAGCTGACAGGCCATTAGTTAGTGGACTTAACAGCTCTTGGAAAATACTAATCAGGGACAAACAGTAAGAGACAAATTCTTGTGCAGACAGGTGTACCCAACTTCTTGCTTAATCCTTAAGAGGGCAAAATGCGTTCAGAGCTGCTTGTGCATCTTTGAGTAATTTATTATGTATTGTTTGGACTAGTTTGGTATTGGAATAAATGAGAATATAAAAGATTTCAAGAAAGGTCTGAATCTCTTAAACCCAGGTTTGCTTGGCTCGCCATGTAGAAGTTTCTGTTTGTTGATTGACAGTCTGAGATGTTTTGCAGCGTTGTTAGAAATCTCTTTACTTTATGGCACTGAAGTGCATTCCACTGGTATTCATGTAAAGTGAAGAATCTTGCAGACCCTGCTGGGGTAACTAGATCAGTATGCTTATCCTCACTGGACCTTATGCATTTTATAAGAGCTCGAGGTTTGGCCTATTAAAATCAGTCTAGTAATTATGAGCAGGCCCTGAATATTCTCCATGCTTTGCAAAAACCAGTTGCAATTCAGGGTATGTAATCACATTTAGGATTAAAGATGAGAAATTATTTTCTTCCAATTATTGCTTCACGATAATATCCAACAATGTAACTGTTTTTTATTGTAATTTCAAACTGGGTAGAAACCCATTTAAAATTTAGTTGGTATCTGTAATTTACTGTTTTCAGCTTCAGAACTCAGGATGGTGCATTTTTTTTCCCTCTTAGTTGCTCCTTCTTGCTCACTTGCATTTCCCACTGGTTGGCCATAACTCTCCATCTAGGTCTTTCACTGCTGCTCTAAAATGGTTATCTCAGTTACTTGTTCTATGCAAAAGTCAGCTGAAACAATTTTTTTTGTATACAGTGGTCCTCATGAAGTGGAGCAATTATTGAGCTTTTGCTGATTGTTTTTTTGGTAGAGCCTGAGTGACCCTTTGAAATTAAGTTTGAGTAAGGATGTTGTGTAATGCCTGGAAGTTCCAGTCAGGGTATGAGCCTCTTGGCTGAACCAGCTCAGGACAAAAAATGGCTCCTTCTCTGGGTGCTTCTGCTGCTTCCTTTCTTTTGTTGCTTCCCATCCCCTTCAGGGGCTTCTTCACTTTCCATCTTCTGATGCCCATGGGTGCACACACCAAGCCAGTTGCTTTGCCCTGTGTACATCTGTTCCTCTGCTCTCTCAGAATAGCTCTGGTTTTACTGTTCTAACATAGCACTATTAAAAAAAAAAATCACTAGATGGAACAGAATAGCAGCTGTGTAATAGAGGCCAGCAGAGTGTCCCAATGGGAGAGGGTCAGCATCCAGGGATTGAGGTTATTCAGGAAATGGGAAACATATTTTTTCTTTCTTTGGCCTACCTCTGACAAACTACTGTTCTGCTGCATAACATTTTTATTCTCACTGGAGTATGACAAGCTGCAGAATGGAGCAAATATATATTGCAGACATTTGTAAAATGCTAGATGACTTTCCCTCAGACATAAGTAATAGGTATACTGGTTTAGGTGCAGGAAGAATAATAATTCACTCAGGGAAAGATATAGCAATTGGCCTTGCATCTAATATAATTGAAAATGGAGAAATATAAAGGACTGTCACTGTCTTATTTCTCCCCCCCTTCCTTTCCCCGAAATTAACCACAATCCATTATTTAATGTACTATATGATCATGTCATTTGGGAGCAATAAGTGACCACATTTCCTCAACTTTATCACCACCGTTCTTGATTCTCTGATGTTAAATTCACTACATTCCTAATTTCTATTTTGAGCACATATGCTGGCCCTTAATTTGCAATTTACATGGATCATAGGGTGCTATTCAGAAACCTGTTTCTGCTGCCTTTGTGGTTTTCACCTCACCTCATGTGGTCATTAGGATGAACAGCATATAATTAACTAAATTCATGTAAAGTCCTGAATTGCAAATGCTTCTGTCTACCTCTAGTTTCTTAAAAATTAGAGAAAATCTAAACATAACTAAAACAAAAGTTCCAGTGGTTTACACCAGCTGTAAGAATCAACTTTTGTTTTGTACATATGTGATAATTTGGGCTGAATGCATCAAACCTATTTATTTGTTTCTTTTATTAGTGATTACACTTGTGTGTCACGGAAGATTAAAAATTATAAGATCTATTTGTGGGCAGGCAGCCAACAGTGAAGCCTGTTTAGCTTGTCTGCTTAGCTGAAGCCATATGGACACAAAATTACTTTCCTGTTGCATGTAAAATATTTGCCAAAAAGTGAATTTTTTTCCTTTTCTTTTTTCAATACCATTTCTATGAAGCATATTTGTCACTGACTGCTGCAGTTTGAGTTGGTTGCATTGTACACAGAGTGAAACTTTACATTGGAAATAGGAGCAGAGGTTATAATAAGAAACTTAAGACTGAGAACTTTCTTGCTGGTGAAATACTATCTTGAGAAATTGATTAACCTTGTGAAGCAACAAAAGAAAATCTAAAAGATTTCCCAGTAAAGGATGAAATATTCTTTTACTTTCCATTTCTGCTAAACTTTATTTTATGTTCTCCAACTTCTGCCTGAAACTTCAATTTGTCAGACACTTTTGAATACCAGGGACAGAATGTCATTAAGAATAATTCAGTAAGACAGCCCTTGGAAATTGGCTTAGATTGGCACTTGTGCTAGAGCAGGAGAAATTTGACAAGCCACAAGGAAGGAAAAGCTGGATAACTTATGGAGCTCTATAATGTTCCTGAGGTCTATGCTGCTTCTGAAATTGCTTTGCTAAATGGAGAATGTTTGGACCCTCCTATCTGTGGTTGAGCTTCTGGGCAAAGGTTTCTGAGCCCGTTCATTATGGTAGTGGCTTTTGCACAAACAGAAAGAGTCAGCTGTGTACTCCACATGCTGGAACACTCAGCCTTCTTGTTCCCATGATTGTGCAAAGGAGCAAGTAAGTGGCATTGTGGGGATGCTGAGATGGAGTTGTATCATTGAATTACATACATGCTACATGTCTGTCTAGTACTGAGAAAGAAACTCACTATGATAGAATTACAGTTTCTCTTCAGTGTAGCTGCAATCTGCTAAGCTGCAGTACTCAGTATCAGAGCAGGAGCTAGTTTATATTAAAAATGGGTACAATACAGGAAAAAAAACCCCTATACTCTTAAAAGTCCTCTGAAATTTTATGGTAAAACTAATATTTGTGTCTTTGCAATGCTTTAATTTTCCACTGTGCTTCTAAGCAAAACCATTTTTCTTTTTCAAATTGTATTTTATACTTCTGAATTTCTTCCGTATCATCTTACCTTGTGTGTGGGCCTTACCTTACAATCGCTGTCAAGTAGAACTCTGTTGGAATAAATTAGGTGGAATTCTATTTAGTTTGATGTCTGATTTGATTGGTCATTCAAGGCTTATTTATAGACTTTGAACTTTATTATTTATTTTAAACAAAACTATGTTTTCTTTGACAGGTATCCTATAAGAAGGATGTGCAAGATACTCATAGGTACACTGAAGTGCTGAACAGACCAGACATAAAAAAGGCAACTGAGATAACAAAGATAATAAGTGATGTATGTTCTCTTTTTACTCTGTTCCTATTTTTTAGACATATACTTTTTTTATTCCAATTTTGATCAGACTATTTTAAAATGCTGCTGGAATTCTCAAATGTTTTGAACAAAAAACCTGCACCCCCAAATCTGCTAGGGAGATTTGATTAAAAGAAATCCAAACATAACAAAAACAAACCAGTCTTGCCTGGCAGGCTAGAAAGCTGTGGGTTTCTCCTTTTTAGATGTTGACAGTATGATCTTTGCAATTATTGGTAATTGATGTAAGGACAACATGAAAATTGTTAAAATTGGTTTTGTTTCAGCTTTATTTGTGATAGCCATTCTCAAGGTAAGTCATGTGCTTGTATGCTATACTGCATTTCAGAAGACATCCCAAACCATTTTTTACCTTGGTATGAGAGAAGCTGGCATCCCAGGACACCCCTTCCTTTTCCCATTTCAGCCAGCAGTGACAGGAAAAGGTAATTCCCGGTTGTCCTTCCAAGAGCTGTGCGGATGCTGCTTCTTTCAAGGGGATTCTGCTCCCTGAACTCCCCTCTCAAATTCTTTGCCCTTCCACTGTGACCTTGGCTAATAGGTGAAGGAGCAGTTTGAGAAGCAGCAGTGTGTGATGCAGTTCAGTATTTTGTTGTAGACAAGTCAAACAATATATATACTTAAAGCCCAGAGTCAAGTTTTTAAGTAATTAATTAAGGGTGAGACTGACTAGACACATTTGGAGAGACAGATTTAAGAGATTGAAATTCACCTTTCAATATTCAGGATTTTTTGAAAACCAAGAACTTCTACTAAGTGTTATGCTCAGCCCTCAGCCTGCAAATTTACTAATTGCTGTTCAAGTGCTCTTAGAATTAGAGTGGCTTTGGGACTTTTATTTCTTTCAGTCTATTCTTATGACGTGTCCTTGCTGATTCATACTGCTTGAGTAATGCAAGAAGCCTGTTTTAGGCAAAGGGTAATTTAGTTTGTGGTAATGCAAAGCACCTATTGTTGATTCATCTGCGTTTTTTTCTAATGCATTGTGGGAAAAAATGGCAGCAGTTTGCATGGGAGGCAGTTCAGCTGGAGAGATCAGGTGACATTAACCTTGCGGGACTAATTCAGCTCTGTGACACCAGCGCAGTCTCACTGACACCCAGTGAGACCAAAGTGCTAAAACTGAGAGTGGAATTTGACCTTACCGTTCAAAAAAGTTGCCCCTCAGACTAGTTTTATTTCAAGACTACTTTCAGCTGCTGCAAATCATCTTGGGTTAACTGTAGACCCTGTCATAAGAAATGCTGAGCCACTGTGACTCATTCTGCCTTGATCGGGAGGACAGTATTTCTCTGGCTTAAGCTGTGCCTTTAGTTAAAATTGAATTTTGTGAATGCTGCACATTGTGTTTTACAATTAATAAATATTATATTGTTAAGGAGCTGAACCCTGAGAAGGACTTTACTCAGAGCTGATTAGAACAGTAGTGTCAATGCAGACCATTATGTGAGACTTTTTCTACTAGTTCTAATGCTTACATTTCTCTTTCAAACTCAAACAATTTATGAGTGATTAATATCCCCCTCCTTTTTATTTTTTTTTAAATTTTTAAGGTGAAGTACAAGAAAGGAAGGGGAGAGCTAAATAAGGAGTCTGCTGTGCTTGGAAGACCTGATTTTGAACATGCTAAAGGAGTTTCAAAACTTTTAAGCCAAGTAAGATTCTCCATCATTTTACAATTATTTAATCCAAATATTTCATTCCTAGTAATGCAAAGAAATACTTAGATTTTTAGATTATTATCTCTAATGGCCTTGAAGATTATGTTCTCAAACTTTTCATTTAGCATTGCAATGACTGGTAAATTTTGGATTCTTAGGAAATCAAATACACATTTTGAAGCAAAAGTATTGTGAACTTTGACTACAACTTGTCTCTTGTGGAGATGGTGTATATTTATACAGATTTTCTAGGATTTCTAAAATATTAACTGTATGTAATTTAGAGGCAAATTTTGCTCCTCATTCAGTTTGAATGGAACCTTACCCTGTGATTAATCCCACTGAAGTAACTGAGGTCTTTTGTGTAGCTGCTTGCTAATGTGAGTAATGGGATCTGAATTTGGCCTGACATGTAAACCACCCGCCTTCCTTCCCCCTGAAACTGAACCTTTTATGTACTACTGTTATATATTAACCTAAAAAAAAAGTCCTTAACTAAAAAGAAATCTGGAATAGAAATATTCCCTCTTTCTCTTAGTAGTTTTCTACTCATAAGGTGTACACATAAGACTCTACTACAGATCATCCTGACATTGTGAAAACAGATTTTTCACTGCCAATCTCTATTTTTGGTTTTTTAAAAATTTTTTCTCGCCCTTTTTTTTTGTCTGAAGTAGTTCTTTAACAGTGCCTTGCATAATCCTTGCTAGTAATCCTGTCCAGCTACCCTTGGAGCTTTTGAAAACCCTGGAACTGCCCTCCTGTAAGAGGAGGATAGTGCCCTTTGATTGAAGAAGGCTGTGTCAGCCTTCCCAGAGCCAAAAAACCTCTCAAGTGTAAATAGTGTATATTCTGTGACAGACTCAATATCAGTGATATGTAAAAAAATACGTGTGATTTGGCCAGATACTAAATAGCTTCCCTAGAACTAGCATAAAATAAAAATAATGTGTCATAGAGAACAATCTGAAAAACAGTGCAGTGTCTGCAGGAGGTGGAGCTCCTCTTGCTATTATCCTTAGATACCTGCTGCATTCATACCATTGTAAACTTTGAAGCATTACACAAGGAGATAAAGAAAAAAATAAATATTTTTTATTGCTTTGTTGGTGATAGAATCAAAATGAGTTTGTGTTTTTCAAATAGATTTCTGTCTTCTATTTTGTAGTGGATCATATTCTCATTTCTCTGCTGATGGGCAAGTCTGCTAAGAGATTATTTTGTGTTTAGCATTGTGCAGGCTTGGAAGTCAGCCTGTACTTTCTAGCAAGAGCCTCTGTGGTGCTGCTCAGACCTGAGTGTCACTTACAGGAAATGGGACTGTAATTTAGCAAACATGTTCAGTGGTTTTTAAAAGGGTCCATATCCAAATTTAGTGTGTAGTGTCCTTTATATCTACTCAATGGCTGCCTACACACTCCTGTCCTTGCAGCTCACTCCTTTGAGCTTGCAGCTGCCTGTTTTTGCCAACGGGACCAAGCTGTAACCCTTTCCAACAGCCCTCTCCATCTTCCCAAGCCTGGTACCCATGAGTTTGTGGCCAACAATCACAAATAAAAAATATCAGCTGAATAATGGGGTCCTGCAGGCTGATGAGCCAGCTACGTGGAAGGCTTCAGCAATGCACTTTTTATCTCATTTTTATTAGATGTGCTTTTTTATCTTGGACAATGCAAGCTGCATCTGCAAATGCTTTATAATAGGGCCTCTTCACTGCCAGGAACTGGGATGGCAGCATTTCTAGCTGAGATCCTTCTGTGGAAGGCAGCATTCACTGTGCAATTTTAACTTCTTTAGAGAGTCCAAATAGTGCAGAAGGTGTGACAGGAAGGGAGAAATTGACAAAAATCTATCTTGGGTTTGGTTTATTTGTAAGAATATTCTTACTAAACCTTGGTGGTCTGAATTCTGCAATTACTGGCCCTGGATCCAAGTTTTGGGATCCTTTCTTGCCCTGTCCTCTCCTCAGTCTGAGCTGCTGTGGTGTTTTGCAGTGTGTGTGATGGGGACTGTGCTTTCAGAATTTTCAGCCTGACACGCTGCCTGCAGCAGTGTCGAGGGTGCAAGTGCTGGGCAGCTCTCAGCAGCAGGGAGGTGCACTCAGCAATTCCCCCATGTCCTCTGGAGGGAAGGCAGTGGCCCTGAGTTGTCTAATGTTCTTATATATTATTTGAATCATTATAACACTTAGACACACTAATCATAAATCAAGAGCACAGAAAAATGAAGATGACCCCTGTGTCCAAAGAGCAGGGTGGTGGGGCAGGATGAGGAATGCACCTGTGCCAGAGGAGAGAAAGAGACCTAAATATGGGTCAGCTGTGTCAGTCCTCTTCATGCAAGAATCATGAAAGAAGCTTGTAACACTTACAAGATTTAAAAAAAGAGTAAAGTTAATGATCTCTTTATTGTCTCCAGACTTTGTGGCTTTTAGAGTTTCCATTTGTTTCTCAGAAAATGGGAAGATCATAAACTTTTTGTGTTGAAAGTTGATAATCTCCCTTAATTGCATGAATCTATAAGCTGTGACATGCGGAGAAATATTAGTTATTTGACCCTCACAGTAAATTTGCAAAGTTGACAATTCTGATGGATGTAATGGGAAGAGAAGATGATAACATGTTTTAATGTGGTGCATATGGGTAGGTAATTTAGGGAGTATAGAGAACAGGAGCAAGAAGAGGTCAGGCAGTGTGGGTGTAACGAAGGGAGAAAGCAATCAAGGCAAGCAGGAAAGCAAACAAAGTGAAGAAAATAGTGTTAATGTTTGACTGGCACTCAAGGCTCTACAGAAATCACTGTTTCCTCTCTCTCTCTCCTTTGTTTCCTTTTAAATTTTTTATTTAACAAAGCTTTTCACAACAACAGCAGCAAAAATAATAGCTCCCAGAACTATTATATTTACCCACAGCATGTGGTAACTCTTTTCTGTTGATTTTAAATGAAATTTAAAACAGAAACTGTGTTAGCCCCTGTGAAAACATGAAGCTTGTCAATTTGCCGAGTGTGCATTGTATAATTTGGGCTATTTTTTTCTATTTTTTAAATTAAAACAAGCTCTTGCTCATGCCCTCTTTATGTTTTTAATGCATTTTATTAGCTTTTTCAAAGAGCTGCTGATATGAAATATTCCTCTGATGGTGTTCAGTAAGTGGTTTTAAGGTAAATAATTTTGGATATTCATATTTGTTGCTGAATCTGGTGCTTATTGTTTTAGGGATAAAACTGTTAGAGTTAGAATGTTTTTCAAAATGCACCTTCTCTCAGATTTTCAGTAACAACCCGAAGAGCCTAGGATTTTCTCAATCTTTCTTTGTTTTAAACTCCGCTAGAGTTTAGCTTTTAGCAAGAAATGTTTCAATAACAACCCGAAGAGCCTAGGATTTTCTCAATCTTTCTTTGTTTTAAACTCCGCTAGTGCTTTTAGCAAGAAATGTTTCAATTTTGCTCTTTGTTTATGCTACATTTCCTTCAATTTTTATGTGCTCTGACAGGTTTTTTCCTTTTTTTAAGATGTTTTCATATGGTCATGAGGAAATGCTTTAGCTGCAAGTGTCTGCTTCATCATGGGATCCCAGTGGTTGAATGATTCAATTTTTGTAGTTTCTTTGTAAATCTGAACAGTGGGTGATGTCATCCACTTCTGAAACTGAACACTCCCTGTGTGAACAGCTTTGAACTACAGATTTGATTTAGGAATGTTGCTGCTAAGCTTCAAAAGACACTGCTCTGTCCAGCTGCAATTCTGACTTTTATAGGTTTTGTGCAAGGCTGATGAGAAGTTTGTTTATCCAGACCTGATTTAATTCCAGTTTGGTTTTTCAGGGATGTTGTTGTGTTAAAAGGCTGCAGAGTCTGCTCTTTCTTAAGCAGGCTTTAGAGAGCAACCTCCACGCATTTCTTTTAAATTAACCCCCACCATATAATCTCTAAAAAAAATAAACAAACTTAAGACTTTAATGAAGATGGTAAACAAGTAACTGTCCTTTTAAGCCCTCATTAAAGTAAAGCTCTTGGTTAATGATGAATTTGTAGATAAGTGTCCACTAACAACTGTCAATTCTACTCCCACTTGTTTGCTCTTCCACCATGTTATAGCCTTGCTAAGACCTTCAGATGGTTTAGAAATCATATGAGGTATTTTTCTTCCTTGTTTTTATTCAGAACTCTTTCTCTCAGGCATGTTTCCTCTCTTCAAACTGCATTCACCCTGTTCAAAAGGATGATGAATACTGTGTGCTTTCCTTCACCATGACTCATACATGGGCTTGCTCTTCTTTCTTCACTCTCTCCCACCCCACGCTTCCTTTCAAAAGGGAGAAAGAACCAGAAAAATGTTGATAAAAGAAAAAGTGTACATCTACATAGCTTTCAAAGCAACAAATCCCCTATGACAGGTCAGTTAAATGGCTGCTGGAAGTGCTCTGGAGACGCTGCCAGGGTTGTCTGATATTACTGCATGTGCTCTACTTTGCCCAGAGCGACCCCATGATGGGGAGGGGAGCAAAGCAATGAGCTGAGCAGCCAGGGCAGGCAGCAGGGCCTGGAGCTGTGAGACAGCCCTACTGCATCCAGAGCATTTACACTCACCTTGGCTGTGGGCTTCCTTTAGTTTTGGAACCCTTCTGCACATCAGGATATGGGGCCCCATGAAGACTGTTTACTGGTCCTCCCTCTGTCCTTCAGTGGCAGCAATGTGATCTGAAGTGACTCTAAAGAGGGCCTGGTACTGGAACCTCTAGACTGAAATGCACTGCTAAAAAAAATTTTAAATGATGGCATGAAATGACTGCAACTGGAAGATGGCAAGCCCATTGTGAGGAGAGGTCCCTTTGGCACCAATGCTTTCCCACTTAACAAGAATTTCAATACCATGTGCATTTGGTCTGTGTGCACTGTTTGTGGCCATTTATTTGCCAGGAGAAGGCAGCCTGCAGTAGTTGGATGTTCAAAGTCTTACACGTGGTGGTGTTGTGATGTGGGTAAAGGAGTAAAAGACAGTTTTGCTCATCTTGCTGTCTTATCTCTGGCTTTTTGAATGACATATTACAGCACTGCCTGATTTTCATTAGAAGGCAAATTTTGGGTACACCTTTCAAGAGAGAAAAGAACTCTGATTTATTCCTTCACTGCTCACACAGAACGTGGATTTGCCTTTGTCTTTGTATTCAGATATATGCTTTTGCACTTGATCCAATGCCAAGGCAAATATGAAACAATATAAACCAGATGAATATACCAGAAGGCAATAGATACTCTTTTCTAATGTTAGTTTGAAAGATTATGAAGTTCATCATGTGTTCATATAAATTTTCTGTTTAAAAGTAACAATGTTTTAGAATTTACTTAGAAAAATTAACCTGAGTGCTGGAATAATAATGTAGCGCTTGAACATATATGGCTGGTTCCTGTTTTAGTGGCTTAGTTTTGGTTTCTTGTTATCCTGATTAATGAAATAGTGGACATTGTGGCTATAGATAATGAGATTGCATAAGCTGAATCACGTTAAAGGTCTTTTGAGGCAAGGAAGAACTGAAAAGGAAAAAAAAACCCTCTTCCCACAACTAAGGCTGAGAAAAAAAATTGAAGATTGTTTGAGGTGGCTTAACCACTTTATCAGATATTCATGTGGGAATATAGAAAAAAGGAGTAGGGAAGAATCCATGTATTTATTTAGTGCAGAGCGTGGTAAATTATAATGGATATTGCACAGGCTCAGATATCAGATGTCTGCCTAAAATTCATGAAAGCAGTGTAATTCAGACTGAACTTTATTCTCCACCATTATGCCCAGCTGTTGGAAAGAAGCAGAGTCTCCAGATGTTTGATGATCATTCACAAAGGGAGCAAAGGAGAGAGATATACTATTTGTTCAATTTCATATTTTCACATTCTGAATTCAGTTTTTCAGCATGTTTTATGGAATTTTTGTGACTTATTTACTATTAGTGCCATTGTGTCCATATTTATGTATTGTTTATTTCCTCTTACAAGTATTGTCATTCCCTCTTTTTCTTTTGAATGAGAAGAAAAAGATGATGAAAGTGATGGCAGGCAGTAATTTAATTATACTTTCCAGCACTGTAATGAGGTGAGCATTATGCCCAAGAAATACAGAGGGATTCCTCAGTGTTCTCTGGGGAATTTCTGGCAGAATTAAAAATAGACCTGGCAGTTCTGGTGGCAATCTAACATAATGGGAATGACATGGACCTGGTGGTGGGAAGTTTGATTCTGACTTCCCACTTTCAAGCGGTTGAAAAATTTACAAGTTATTTGTTTTACAAATGTTACGATTTTTTCACCTTAGAAATTTTTTTTTGTTGAAACTACAATTTTGATATTAATTATGAGTAGAATGAATCCTAGTGGATCATTATTATTGCTGGTCAAAGAGTTCTGTTTTATTTGATTATTCATGTGAGCCATATGGTCTTGTTTCTGTTTTCATAAGTCCTGCAGCACCAGTAATCACATATGACAATCTTAAAATTTTAGTAAAACTCAGATACATAAAACTTAATTTGAAACTAACACAAGACTGTCCCAGGTGTGGGTAAAGTGAGTTTCTTTAAACTTTGTTTAAAGATTTATGAATAAAGTAATTGCATTTAATAAGCTTCTTTGTAACCTGAATTCTCTGCATTTTTGAAGTGCTACTTGTTAATATTAGACATGTTTGTTCTGGTGAAAGGTGAAATACAAAGAGAAGTTCAGTAAGGAAATGAAGAGTCACCAGTACAATCCTCTTGACAGCGCTTCCTTCAAGCAAGCACAGATTGCATCCACCTTGGCAAGTGATGTAAGTTATTCGGCTTTGTATTTTACTTGCATTTACATCCTGAATAACCTAACATTTGTTCACAAGTAGAATTTCTTTTTTTCATCTTATGAATTCCTCTGAGCTACAGTCTCTGCTATACAACATGTAGCAGGTACAGCATGTTATCAATTTCTTCATCTGCTTCCTATGTAGGGCCTGAAGAGTTTTTCATAACCATTTTAGATGAGATTCATCTCGCTTAATTTTGTGTGTCAAAAGGTGTGACCTCTTACTCTGAGTTAGTTGCCTTGTACTTGGTCCCTTTTTATGCAGGAAAAAAATAAACAGGTCTAGAGGTCAATTCTTCTCACCTGTTAAGAGGTGCCTGTCTTTAGAGAAGCAAAGTACTGTCATCTCTCCAATGGTTATAGAAGGAGATTACATGAGTAGTTCAGATCTGTCTTTTAGACTTCATTCGTCTGGTTGGTCTTCTCAATGGTATTACAAAACACAGCAGTCACGAGGTTCAGCAATGGGTGGCTGCTGCTGGAGCCAGACTGGAGAAAACATCTGTATCTAGTGATGATGGTATTGGGATGTTATATTTAAAAGTGTGTTTAATGCTAAAAATGTGATCTCTTTGAGGCTGTGATCCCAGATAGCCAAAAGACCAGTCTTCATTTTGTAGTCCAGCATTTCTGAAGTGTGAGGAACCATGCAATGGGAACAGGATAGACTGAGAAGCCAGAGAAGGGGACAGAAGATTATGTAATTGTTTCCAAAATATAAATGGGTAGTAAAAAATCAGTTGAAGCAGTTGTTATTATAAGAAATGGGCAAATTGAAGTGAGGAACATGATGCATATGTGGAAATGACTAAAGGTATTAGTTTGAGAGATTTCTCATCCAAGATAGGTAAGGTAGCTAGTTTTCTTCCTGTAAAGTTGGGCATACAGGTCTCAGAAGAATGGAAAATCCAGCTTTAGGCTGATGGGAAGTTACTTTCTGCTGCTTCGTTAAGTGATTATCTTTTGCCTTAGGTCACCATATTGCTTATATTTGCTGCAAGCAATCTATATTGGATAAAATATCCAGGAGCACATCCTTTTAACTGTTATATATCAAACTCCTAAATTGGATGGTGTGATTGCTGAAGCTGAGGAAAAAGAATAAGAATTGAAGGTGTTTAAAATGAATAGACCCAAAGTATTGAGGAAGATACTCTTGATTTAAGTAGGGGGTGGGAAGGGAGGGGAGAGGAAAAAAGGAGAAAATTAATTATAGCCTGCAAAGTGATACAAAGTGTGATTTTGTTGTAAGTGTCCTTGTTTGGAGGAAAAGTTGGAGTAGTTCCTAAATACTTAGCAGAATGAGTCCTATATTGTTCTTTCCTTTTCTTTGAAATAATAGTAGATGACCACCATCTAGTGGCTGGGAGAGATTGTTCAGGCAAGCACGTAATGTTTCCTCTTTCAGAGTGGTCAACCACACTGTTATACAGAGCTGTGAATTATTTTATTAATCTTTAGTTTGCATAACCTGAATTTTCTTTCCAGGTGAACTACAAGAAGGATTTGGAAAGCCTGCATGATCCAGCATCTGATCTACCAAACCTGCTGCATTTAAACCATGCTTTAAATATCAGCAAAACACAGAGTGATGTAAGTTGCCTTTTTAAGAATGACCTGAAAAATAAATCTAGTAAGGAATGTAATATGTATAGTCATGGTAGGAAACACATTTTTCCTCTCATATGTAGTGGCCAGTAGTGTTGTAACTGTAGTAGATGAGGGGTGTAGTGAAGAAAAATGGGTTTTTATGACAACATATTTCAGTTATTAGAACAGATAATATATACTGTGGAAGAATCACAAAGACTTCTGATGTTGGGTGTTTCTTTTCATAGATCTGAAATATTGACTGTTTTTCTTTTGTGCTAAGACCTTAAATACTTCTTTCCTTGCAAATCTCATTTTGTCTAAGATCTTGTTTTCATCTGCAAGTCTCTGTATGGAAGTGACCATTATGCTAGTTTCATATTTGGACTTTTTTCATGAACAGCCTCTGGAATGTTAGCTTACTTTTGGGCTTCTCTGGCTGAGCTTTCTTCTTCTCCTAACTGTCTGACTCTTCCTAGACTGGGTCAGTTAATAGGCACATGCTCCATTCTGCCGCGTAGCAAGACATGGCCCTTGATGGGGCTGGTGGTCTGACATATGATTGTGGTGGGGGTTGAAGTAGGAAGGAAGACCTGGGAGACCGCTGGCTCCTGTGCAGTGATGAAGGTTCTTTCCCACTCCAAGAGCACCTTTGCTGCATGTCTGTAAGCTGGTTAGCTGCATTTGTCATCTTTACTCCAGAAAGTACAGCAGGCCTGCAGAGGTCATCTTTTAAGTCAGTGCCTGCAAAACAATGCATCTACTTTTTTTTTTTTTTTTTTTTTTTTTTTTTTTTTTTGAGAATTGAAGCTTTTTTTTTCTGTCTTACTTCCTCTGTGAAGGTAACACTGATTATCCCCTTTTGTATCAGTAATAAATGAGTTGGAGTATTTTTCTTCCTGCATTCTTCATGCACTTTTTGGCCCAAAGCTATTTTCCTTCTAGTGTATGGTAAGATTGGCAGTCTTTTTTGCTGATTAAATGAGCCCATCTTAGTCCATCCTTAAGAATGGACTTCATCAGTTTATCATCTCAGCTCTAAGGATTTAGAAACCTGGACTTTTCTTTAAGGCAGATCATGTCTTGCAAAATGTATTTCTTTCTTTTGTCCTGGAGGGATTGATTCATAATGTCCATGTGCTTGTCTGAGGACTCTGTAAATACTAAGCCTATGATTTTTGCATTGTCCAGATCCTGGTGGGTATTTTTATTTGGTACAAGAAGAGAAATGCTTTGCCAATCCTTAAGCTCTCCACCAAATATTTGTCTTCTAAAGAAATCCTGTTTTCACAGTCCTTCTCAGATTTGACCTCCCCATGTCATCATCACTTTTATTTAAACATGGTTTATTCTCTGCCTTTCTCCCTCGGTTTCCAGTACATTCCTTGTGTTCTCCTTGACTCTCCACAGCTCATACCAAATCTGTTTCGTAATCTGCCATCATTGTAAAAAACAATCTTCCTGACTTCCCTGTGTTAACTGATTTCCAGAGACTGGTCTTATGGTCTGTTGGGTTTTTTCGTAGTTTTTTTTTTATTTTTTTATTTTGGTTTTTCCTCTTTTTTTTTTTTTTTCCTTCTGAAACACAGAGCTGGTTGCTAATTGCTGAATTTTGCTGTTTCCCTGCAGTATATTTTTCTGCATTGAACTTCATGTTTCTCATTATCTTCTACTTAACATAGCTACGCCTACACCAGTGTGACAGATTGAAACCTCTGTGGTTAATTAAACTCATGAACTAATGTAGTTTATTGAATGAATGGTTTTGCTTATTGACCTGAAGTGTAGAGGTGTGTGCCACTATACAAAGCACTTATACTATAATTTCACTGCAAGAGTGTTATAGAGGTCAACTTCCATGGGAATGAATTCCAGCAGTTAAGAGGAAAGCTTGATGGACATCTTTGGACATAAATAAACAGTTTTGGACAGGTCAAACTCATCCTGGTTTTATTATTTTGATGAGGAAGAAAATTACAAGGTAGAATTCTCCCTTCATGCAGTATTTCCTGGTTTCACTTGGGATGGAGGTAATTTTCTTCCTAGAAGCTGGTGCAGTGGTGTGTTTTGGATTTAGGATGGAATCAGTGTTGATAACACACTGATGCTTCAGTTGTTGCTGAGCAGTGCTTACACTAAGTCAAGAACTTTTCAGCTTCTCATGCAGCCCTGCCATTGAGGTGGCTGGTGGTGCATTAGAAGCTGGGAGAGGATACAGCCAGGACAGCTGACCCAAACTGGCCAAAGGGATATTCCACATCATACAGGTGTCATTCTCTGTATATAAACTAGGGGAAAGTTGGCCAGGAGTTCCTTCTCAGGGACAGGCTGAGCATTGATAGGTTGGTGGTAGGAGTTACTTTTTTTTCATTTACATATTTTGAGGTTTTTTTTCCTTGAGCTTTATTTCTTACTCTTTTTTGTTATTTTCCTTTTATTGCTGTTTATTATTATTATAATAGCTTATTTTATTTAAATTATTTATCTCTTCCTGTTTCAAACCACAAACTTTCTCACTTTTACCCTTCTGATTCTCTACCCATCCCACTGGGGTAAAGTGTGTGAGCAGTTGTGTGGCTGACTGTGCTTAAACCATGACAGATATGTATATAATTCTGGTATGAACTATGGAGGCACAAAATTTGATGCTTTGATATATGTAGAACAGCTAGTTTAATGTTTTTCACATTTTAAATCTGTTCTTATTGTGAAGACTTTGAGATACTAATGAAATTCAGGCTAAAAAAGGGGGAACTTAGATGTATTTCATTTTAATGAAAAGGGTGAATAAATAGAACTTAAGAGACTGAATCTAGTGCTTGTAGCTTAGCTTAATGTAGCAAAAAGTTACAAGCTTAGCTAAGTTGATTTTATAGAATTTCTTAGAAATTTTCTTCCATTAGCTGAAGAGTGAAGTAAAAGTATGAGATCAGTGTCTGTAGATTGAGGTAATTTTAATTTGTTTCCACTACTAAAGTGATTTTGTTGTGTGACATTCATAGTTCTTTCCACTAGGAGGCAAACCCAGACTATCATATGTGTTCCTTTGCACTTCAAGTGTAAATAATAATGTTTATTTTCTATGGAACATAAAAACATCTGAATTTTAGATTAGCAAAAAAACTATTTTCTCTAGGAATGTACAAAAGCTATTTTTTATCATATCTTTTTTAAAATGTAATCATAACATTTTAAATTCACATTTGATAGAACTTCCCAGTTTGTAGGACTAAAATATAGTTTATTTATTCTATGTTTTTTCTTTCACAGTTATTTTAAATAGTATTTAAATTTCAAAACCTTCTGGATTTTGTCCGCGAAAACATTTTTGGAATTTTTTGTTTCAGTATGAATATAAGAAATAATTTAAGCAAAGGAATTGTTTCCATCATTTCAGCCCAGACACTGCAGAACAAATCCATTTCAAAGAAAATGCAGTGTTTCAAAGTCAGGTACACACAACCACACATGAACACATCTTGCAAAGAGAGAAATGCAGTGATTTAACAGTGATTGAATCTTGCACAAAGCCACATAATAGATTTCAGTGATGTACAGAGCATATTCAATCAGAATAACCCCCTGAGGAGGGAGGAGAGTGGTTTTGCAGGACCCAAGCCTAATGCAGAAGCCTGACAGCGAAGGAGAAATTCAGACATCACTATTTTTAAAGAGACATAGAAATTAAAATTACATTATTGACTATAAATGTAATATTTTGATTTGTAGCTATTTGCTTTCCTTTAAGGCTTGTGTAGACTATTCCATCATGCCCCACAGTGACTGATGGAGATAAGTAATGTGTTTGCCAGTCTTAATCAAAAGAGCGTGAATGAATGAGTTCAGAAGGCTTCTCCAGGTTTCCAAACAAAGTGTATTTCCATTGTGAGTTAGCATGAAGGAATAAGTCGATGTCTTAACCCTGTGTCCTTCACTGGGATTTTGCTGCCAGCTCTGAGGTCGTGGTCCCTGGTAGATGTGGGGGAGTGTTGGTGCAGGACAGGGTCCTACCAAGGCAGTAGTTTTTCTTCACTTCTCCTTCCCACAGGTACAAACAAAAGTGCATTTGAGAGTGGTGCTTCTGAGCCTGGTAAAAAGACCTGTGGGCCCTGGCTGTGAAACAGATTTTGTTGTTGTTACAGTGAATGTGTTGTTTTATGGAAACAGCAGGGGATCCCATTAAAAAGCTGCCGAGTGTTCAGACATAGGTCATTTGACCAAACCCATGCAATTAGTTTTGAGGATTGTACTTGATGCTCCTTATTCCTGTTGTCTTCAAAGTCCACAATTTCTAGGTCTGAATTGTGTAGTAAAGGAATAAATGACTCCAAAGCATATTACGTTATCTAACTGCCCAACAGGTTAAGTTTGGGAAAAGTCTTCCAAGTCAAAACATCTAAGGAGTATAGCTAAGACAGGATTTGTTTCCTGCCAAGGCAAGCAATCAGATCTCATATTCTCTCAGCTGTTAACAGACTTTATTTTAATATTACTAGGTCAAGTACAAAGAAAATTATGAAAAATCTAAAGGCAGATCAATGCTGGAGTTTGTGGATACACCAATGTATCAAGTTTCAAAGGAGGCTCAAAAGATGCAAAGTGAGGTAAGTAAAAATGTACTTTTTGAACAAGTAAAATTTAGATCAACAGAGAGGTTAACAGACATCTTGTGCTCAGGTTAAGAAAATGTATGAAGCAGAGAGTAAATTGTGGATATGGTAGAGTTGTACTGAGTAGTTATCTCTGCCATTCTGTAGTTCAGTCCTTGTGAATTTGCTTTTTTCTCAAAAGACCATTGGTACTAACAGTACACACACATCATTTAATTGAGAAGAAGCTCAATAGGTCATCTAGATCAGAGATTAATAACTTTGAAAATTTTCACTGGAATTCCATCTTTAGGGAGGCATGGTTCTCACACGGGAGAGAGTGAAGCCACAAAATTCAGTCCAACCACTTGATTTAGCTGAAACATCCTCCTGCCTTTCCAGCCTGGGAAATTCATCAAGGAGGAGAGACTGTTCCCAGGCTCCAGAACAGCACTAGCTGCCTTATATCAGGCCATGTTTTTCTAACTTTTTAAAAAAAACAACTTCAAATGATGGAGATTTTGTGACTTCCCAGACAACCTAGTCCAGTGCATTGCCATCCATCCTGAGCGAGATGGATGCACTTGTGTCCCCATGCTGCAGTTTGATTCCATTAGTTTTGCTGTGTCATGGAAAACAGATTATCTCAGCCTCTTGGTAGAAATTTTAATGAGTTTTAAACCATTTCCTTGTGTGCCATTTGTCTTCTCTTTTCCTTACCAAGAAAATGGTTTCTTTCATAGACCAGGTTCAACATTCTCTTTGGACATACTGTACACCTATTTTTGTCTAGATTGTATCCGTTTGTATAAATAAACTAGATAATGAAATGCATAATGAGTTGCTTATTAGTGTGAAATCTAATTTATGGCAGGGCTTATTTCTGGTTTTGTTTACAGTATCTCTCCCAAAATGTGCTTGGAATTGCATATGTATGTACCACTAATTGTTGGTTTTGCTATGGTAGAAAACGTACCGCAGAGATTTTGAAGAAGGGATCAAGGGAAGACCTTCACTGGATTTAGACAAGACCCCAGAGTTCTTGCATATAAAACAAGTCACTAATCTTCTGAAAGAGGTAAAGGATTTTTTTTTTCAGTTGCTAAGTTGTAAATAAGCAATAAGAAGCATCAATACAAGCTGCTGAGTGCTGACTAACTTAAAATTTTCTTGGCAGCTACATACAAGTCACTTCACAAGTAAAAATTTATTCACATCATTTTGTATTCTGAATAGTCCTGTAGTAAGGAAATGATAAAGCTCAGCACACCTGGACCAGACTATCACTTCTCTTTTCAGATAGATAAAGGGTGGAAGGAAGGATTTCCATTGGATTTCAGATGGTAGTTTTTCCCTTTGAGTAATTATTTCACCTTTATGGTAGCGTGTTGTGGTTAAACAGATGCCTTGAACTGCATAGAGTAAATGATAACTAACTTTATGAAAATAGTTGTCTATCATACATGTTATGGATAACAAAATAAAGACCAAAGTTCTGTTATAGAGCTGTGATATTACATGACTGCTTTAGTTAATTTTGTTAGAAGGTACAGGTTTTCTGTATGCCTACTGTTTCCTTCAGATTTGTGAAATGTTCTTCAGTTGTATGTGTCACTAAAAATGAAAAATTTTTTTTCCATAACTGAAAATCCTTCAACCTTTAGTATTTTTTTATTATTTTTAAAACTGGTTTCATGTTAGGTTTTGAGTATTGTTTGACCAAATTTAGAAGAGCTAGAGATGCTAGAAGAGAAGAGCAGTACTACTAGATATTCTGCCCTTGAATCTGAAAGCCAACAGTACTTTGTATTTATGGTATTAAGGATAGATTTTTTTTTTTTGCCAAAACAAATAAAACATGTTAAAATTAAAAACTCTTGAACTTTGTTCCTTTCCTTGTTTTTTATACATATTATTCCAGTCCATGCTAGATTTCATATGCTTAAAGAAAAAAAAATGTTTAAATATATTCCTTTATAATTCATCCTCTAATAAATAATTTATTCTGATAAGTCTGACTGTCAGGTAGGCAAGTTTCAAGCTAGGTCTGTTTTTTGCAGTGGCATTCTGTGGTACATCTCATATATACCTTCTCACTAGGGAAAAATGCAAATCATGCTGTCATCTCATTCAGTTCATCTTGCTGCTCACTGAATGTCCAAAGAAGTGGGTACTGTGTGCATAGTTATATCATGTGCTCTACATGTTCATCTCTGACATTTTGATGTAGCTCCCCTCCTTAGTGCTATATGCATTAGGATGTTCTCAATTCTGTCCTCTTCAAGTTTTATGGCTTCTTATTTAGGGAGTAAACCATGCCTGTAAATCAAAGGGGAAGAAAATGAGAAAATGAAAATAGTATTTCTATTAATGCATAACTGCATGAATTTCTGATGATTTTATATCCACATTCAAGGAATGTATTCCAAACCCAAAGATTACCTAGGTAAAATTAATTATTATCTTACATTCAGAAATTTTCAGATTCAGAAAAATTATGTATTTCTTCATAGTCAAGGATATAGCTCAGTGTTTTTCCATAAAGTTTTATAATCAACTTTGAATAGGTACTGCATGAAACAAGAAAAAGCTGGAGTTAAAAATTAATTAGTTATTCAATCACTTTTTTTTTACCCAAATGTCAGCTGTGTTCCAGCTTATTCTGTTGACTTCCGACTGTAGAGAATTCTGCAAATATTTCACATTTTGTAGCAATACAAACTTTCTTCTCTGGGACCACATTTATAACTCCTTCAGAAGAGGAAGGTGAATTAAATAGTTCAGGGTTAAATAGTTCTATATTAGAAGAAATTGTTTCCTGCTTGTTGTAGGCCATGCTTCTTGATGATCAAGAGAAGCATCTTTAAAAATATCTGGTTTCCTTTTATTTAAATAAAGAGCTTATAGGGAGATAAAGGTGCTCACTGCTGCTTATGAAACTCAATATGTAATTAGGAGTATTAATTAATGTCTGTGTAAATTATTCTGATAAATATTTTGTGCAATGTTCTTCTAATTTCTTTGCCCAAAAAAGCTCCTTATCTGGAGATGTGAAGAGTAATTAAAAATCCTTACAAAACTTGAACTTCAATAGGCTTACATCAGCTCTCTAGGAGCTGGAAAAAGCAAAAAGAACCAAATGTCTGTGGGCAGGTTCTAGTGTGCTTTGAATTTCATATTGAATATTTGAGTACTCTGGAGGCTGCAGTTGCTGAATGTTGATAGGTCATACCAGTGCAGCGTCTAGGAGCCACAAGTGTGATATGGTAGGAATATTGCTTCTACATTTTAATTTATCAAGAGGTTGTTTTAACATGTCTTAGTATGGTGTTTAGGGAATCTATCCTGATTGGGATGCCATTAATGGAACTGAGGTAAGAACTGCAGCACTGCTGGTCTGCAGAAAGAAAATGCTACTGCAGTGAAAGTATCTGTCCAGAGACAGAAAAGGGCCCTAAACAGTGTGCTCATGCTGTATAGGACAGATCTGGTTTTCAAGAGCACAAAAAAATAGATGACGACATTGAAATATTTTTACTTTTTTTTAACATTGTTCCTTTTCATTTCACAATTTCCAATTCTATTTTAAGTCTGAAATCTACTTCAGCTAATTCATATTTCATAGAAATTTCAAAGAGACTCTTCAGATGTTTAATAAGTGGCATTTCTTTTCAAGATCTCACACAAAATAAGAACTGGTGAAATCTCTCTCTCTCTTTTTTTTAATCCTTAGAAAGAGTATCGAAAAGATTTGGAAGAAGGGATGAAAGGAAAAGGAATGACAGTGTTTGAAGATACACCAGATTTGATTAGAGTGAAAAATGCAGCTCAGATACTAAATGAGGTATGTTATCCTTGTCAAGGTTATTAATATCACAGAAGGTTCACTTTGTGTTAAACTCAAAAGATTCCTTTTTTTTTTTCTTTTACATAATCTGCAATGAAATATGCAAGTATTGAGAAGAGGGTAATTTTTGTTTTGCTTCAAAAATATAGTAAAGCTCTGGATAAAAAACAATGCAGAAGAGAGAACTAAGATTTTCAGGCAAGTAAAAGGTCATTGGAGATTGTCAGTGGGGTCAGTAGATCCAACATTTAGAGCTGGGCTCTGCTGAGGCTTTCGCAGCGCATGAGTTTGGGTGGACTTCCAGACATCCAGGGCTGTCTCTGGAAAGCAACAGGGGGTGGAAGGTATAGGGAGGGAAGAGGGAAGGCAAAGCTCATGCTGAGTGTTATGTCTGGGGGGAATAATTTCAGAATTTTATAGATATATAAAAATCTATTTTACATTATTTATTTATTAATTTATTTATAGTATAATATATATGTTTATTCACGCGTACACACACACACAGATATTTGCATAAATATACATACATGCATATATCCATAAAAAACAGAGGGAATGCCATGGATAGGGCCAATTTGACCACTCTAAAGAAGTGCAGGGATATATAGCTCTAACTCCTGGGATTATCTTTTCCTTGGTGTTTTACGCAATATGAAGCTTAGAGGAAACATCTGCCATCCCACCTTTAGCAGAGAGGAATTGAGGGATGATGTATTCTTACAGGTTAATTTACAATTCTTGCAAAAAAAATGGTTTGTGAAGTAGAGGACTGTTTTATCAGTTTATTTCCACATAAGTGAGACAGAGATGGAAGACTGAAAATCTTTTTGCTCTTGTTCTTGTAAGTGATCAAACCATTGTATTAACTACAAACACATATTTCTTCTTTTTCTAACTAATGTACAAGCTGAAAGTAATTAACAAAGAAGAAAAGTAAGAGGCTTTTAAAATTATATGTATTATATGTATTTACTTTGAAAAAGAAGAATTTTCCACATGGAGAGATGACCTGGAATAGAAAAAAGAATGATTGTTACTACAGCACTGAAAGTAGAAATAGCGCTGGCTGAGAATATGTTTTTATAAAAGAAAATCTACAACTGTTGTATACAATATTTCCATATTACTTTTTAATATAATTTGCTGATGAACAAGGAACATATCCTTGCTTGGATAAGCTGAAGATGAAATATTAATTTTGTTTTCAAGTTATTGGTTATTTATAATTTATGTTGCGAGGAAAAAGCAGCAATCATGGATGAGAACTGCCACTTGCCTAATGGCTATGGTTCAGGAAGGACCTATTAAATGAATAAATTACAACTTCCTGATCTGGAAGTTCACTGGAAGCAGTTCTGTATGGTATTAAATTTCTAACATGTAGTCTTGTCATAAATAAAATATTTTTCTTAAAAGTAAAATGTGTTTCAATTAGACTGGCACCAAGGACAGACTTATTACACCATGTTCTGCAGAGCTGAACTTCCCCTTTACTTTAGAGGATAACTGTAGCAGGCTGCATGGGCTGATTTCCTCCCACCCTCTGCCACATTAAAATTCATAGATAGAGATTTGTACATTCATTTGAGATCTTCAAAAAGTTTTCCTCCTGTAGTTTATGTGTTTTTTCTGACAACAACTCACCAAGAGTCTTAAAAACTCTGACACTTGCAAGTTTCGATTGACTCAAAATCCTAAATTTGAGTGCCTTGTGGAAAAAATATACTTGTAACTCTCTGAATTTTGTGAATATCTTGTATAAATTCTATCTTCACAGAGGCAATACAAGAAAGACTTGGAAACTGAAATTAAAGGGAAAGGCATGGAAGTTGGTCCAGATACACCTGAGATAAGACGAGCCAAGAAAGCTTCTGAAATTGCAAGCATGGTCAGTACTGCTCCTGGGACGAGCTTTCCATTTGCCAGAATGCAGCAAATTATTTGGGCTGAGAATTCCAGGTGCCAATCTACCAATCTAGACAGTACTGAAAACACAGATTTCTCTAAATAGCTAATCTAAATAGCTGCAGAGAGTTGAACAGTTGCATAATCAGTGTAAGGGGGGAAAGTTAAGACTTCCCAGAACTTAGACCTTCCTATCACCTTTTTCAGGCTGTGCTTGTTCCTCATGAGCCATGCCTGGCCTGGGGTGTGTCTGGTCACTGTGGGTCCTGCTGCTTTTAGGTCTAAATAGCTACTTATTTAGGTAGGGGCAAATATAAACAGAGCTAGAGGGATGCTAAAGCATTATGACCTCAGTCTTGCAAAGCCCAGCAGATGGAGAAGTTCTCACACGTGTCTGACCTGTGGCTGCCAAAACTGCAGAGACAGGTAGATATGAAAGGCTGCATCAGATTTGAAGTGAGCAGCCTGTTGAGTTTTTTAACCCATCAGCAACTACAGTGTGGGCATTGCATGGATAGGTTCTGCAAAACTAGTACTGTTGAATCATCAGTTATTTGGTGGTTTATGAATGGTGGTCATTGAAATCACACAGATTAAACTGGGAAAAGTTTAAGAATTTGGCTGTCAGCTGCATTTCCAATGCTATTCTTTTCAGAAAGAATACAAGAAAGACTTGGAGAATGAAATTAAAGGAAAGGGAATGGAAGTGGGTACGGATACCCTTGATATACAACGAGCCAAAAAAGCTTCTGAAATTGTCAGCCAGGTGAGTACAGAATTAATTGATTTAAGATTACTATGAAAGTAAAACACAGTGAGATGTTAAAACCATAAAATCCTCTTGAAATTTCTTAAGCGAAAGAAAGCAAGCAGTGCACAATAAAAATATTAAATTGAATAAACTGAAGAATGTATTTTTATAGTGTGACCAGTACTGTGAGAATAGTTTTGAAGACATCATGTACAGAGAGTTGTAGTATTATTTGTGGGGGTTTTTTTTTTTTCCTGTTTATTTTTTCTTCTGAAGGACTATAAAAATGACCTGGGGACTGAAATTATATGAAAAGGGATGCAAGTTGGTCCAGGTATTCCAGAAATACAGTTGGTCAAAAGGGCTTCAGAAATAGCAAGCCAGGGAGACATCAAAAGCTGAATGTTTTGATTCTGTGTAACAATGACTGCTTGACATACTCTGCTCAAAATATTTCTTCTCTAGCTCTGCAGAGGCTTTCATAGCCATACTAAATTAATTTACATGCAGTGAAATGTCTTAACTGCCTGATTCTTATTTGTATTTAGGCCTACTACAGCATGTAAATTGAATTTAACTATTTACATCTACCTGTAGTTCTTTTCACATCACCAAATTACCTAATGTTACATTACATACATCCTAACAGTGAGGGGAAGATATATATGAGGATACATTGTGTATGAAGGTATGTTATAGATGAGGATATATTATTTATAGGTATATTATATATATTTTAGTGTGGGGGCAGACAATGGTAACAGTATCATGGAGAAGACAGGTTTAAATAAATACTGGAGGGGATGAGGAGGCTTATCAGCAAGAAGCTTCTTTTGTGCAGCTTGGATATCCTGAGCCCAAATATCATAGACATGTAAAAATTATTTTTCCAGAAAATGTACAAAGATGAAGCAGAGAAGATGCTCTGTAACTATTCTGCTGTCCCAGACACTCCTGAGATGGAGAGGATAAGAAGTACTCAGAAAAACATCAGTTCAGTGAGTAATAGTGCTTCTCTCTTTGCTTGTAACTTTTCAGATATTTTTTAGTTTAAATAGGCTCTCTTGTGCCACAGTGTAAAATAGGGAACTTATGAGTAGGTGTCCTTTGAACCATTTCCATAATTTTCCTGGCAAAAACTGTATCACTCATTTCTTTCAGTAAAAATAATACTCTGCTTTTCTAGGTGCGACACTGTTATTTTGAATTTTTAAACCACTTATACCACCTTGCCAAGCCACAGTTATTTTTAAATGAAGATTTTTTTTCTTTTTCCATCAAGCCTCAGGAAGTACTTTATTTAAAAGGGGAAAAAAACAAAATCTAAGGCTTCTTACTACACATAAGGGATTTTTCATCTGTTTCCTATCACAAGTACTGAGCATCAAGATTGGAGTATAAAATTAGAACAGATCAAATTTCATAAATATATATATAATGATTTTATATTACACTGGGTATATTTTTAAATTTTATGCTAGATTTAAGTTTCAGTTTATCCCTAAATATAAATTATGAGCTTAGATTTCCAAAATTGCCCAGTTTGGGATGTATTAAGTTTCACTTCCTTTTTGGTCCCATTAATGCTGCTGTTTGTAATTCTGCCTTTGCTCGTAATATAACAGAGAAGAGGAGTAAATCTGGCCTTCAGAACAAAAGGCCAGTCAGTGGCTGGTTTTTAGGGCAGACTAAGTAATACTAATAAAGCCAATGATTTGAGAGAAAGGAATATAAGATACTTAAATAGTTTTAGTATTATCTGACACACATGTTCCTTAACTTAGAGATATTCTCAACTTCTCCAGCTCTCAGAAGTAACTGAGAAAACTCAGTTAGTTTCTCCCAGAGGTGTTTGCCTGCAGCTCCCCTGAGCTGAGGCTTCTGCAGGGGAGTAAGAGCCTTTGGGGAGAGCAGAGGAGATTCCTCTCTGAGCCTGCTCCAGGCTGTGGTCATCTCCAGCCATCTCCACCTGCCCTTTTTCTTCCTTTGAATGAGGACAGCTGAAAGCTGCATCTTTCTAGAAGGAGCTCTTGACAGGCCCACTGGCCCAGTTTTGCTTCCTGTCACCTGTTGGCTCCTGGTTCTGAATGGTTCCCTGCAGCACAGTGTGATGTGGTTATCCCCATTTCTCACTGGTCTCCTATAAGGCTAGGCTGAAACTCCCTGGAACAGGGGCATCCAAGCCAGCTCTGTTATGATTTCCTCCCTGCTCCAGCCTTTGATAGCCATTGATGAAATCCTCAAGTAGGTCAGTGGCTCTGGCAGTGTGGACTCACTAACATTTAGGTACCAAGCTTAATTCAGATGGGTATCACCACTTGGTTCAGCCTTGACAAGGCTCTGATGCATCTGAACCCCTTGAGCCCTGTAGGGCACTCTGAGCTTTCAGTGCCAAGGCTGACAATGATCCTCTTTGTTAGTGTTCTAGATAATAAGAAATAAAATGTTTTGTCTTCGAGGTGATTTGTGTTTGCTTTCTTTTGTGATTGTCTTATTCCTCTTTGTGTGAGCTGGGTCTTCCAAATGTAGGAAAGCAGTTTACAGCAGTGAATGAACTATCTTTTTTCTTCTTTCTCTATATTTTAGTCTTTCGTCCTTCTGTGCAGTTTAGGTGATAAAGGCAAATTATTACTGAGTGAAGATATAGCTGGAAGCAGCCCAAATAGATAAAAAACAAATGACCCCTAATAATCTTATGATTTTTGGATTTTGTCTCAAGCGTTTTTCTGCCTTAAGGGACAAAAAATAACAAATAGCTCTGCAGATAAGATCATTGCCACTTTTAGCTCACTAGCTCATTTGGCAGATGATTTATAAAAGGATATTTACTTCACAGTCATCTCTTTCATAGAAAAATTCCTGTCTCCAATATATTTTACCAATCCTTCCTTGGTAGGGGAGAAAAGTATATTGTAGTCCAGTTCACAATATAAATCTTTCTAACTGACATGATGTAGGAGAATTTTCAGGTTCTTAGTCATAAACTGTCTCTGTTATCACATGGTAAAACAAAATTCTAGATTGTTAAGGGTTTTCTGAATATTTAAAATATTAGTTGCAGACTATTATTGACTCTTCTGTAGAATATTTGGCAGTAGTTTTCACCTCAGGCCATGGAGGACTTCCAGGAAGTCAGTGGAATTAATCAAGACTGATGTTTTTATTGTTCAAGGTTTGTTGATAGGAAAACTTAAATAAATCTTGATTTAAAAATGGCAGAAATACTAAATGATAAAGATTAATTTTATTAACTCCAGGATCAGACTTGTTTTTTATACTAATGGACCGGAAATACTTACTAGAGTGGCAACAGCTGTGACGCCAAATACTGGAAATGCAGTAAAACTTCTGTAGGAGTTTTGCAGCATGAACTGGTGCTCCATGGTTATTTAAATTGTAACCATGCTTGGAATTTGTGGAGCAGTTATTTACTATCTCTTTCAGAAACTTAAAATAATTGATTCTACTGATGTGCTTTGTATTTATCCTTAACTGAAACGATTGAAATAGAATTGTATAAACAGCATGTGTATCTTTTGAGAAGTGAGTTTTGGTTTTAGATACAGTTCTTAGCTTTCTGGCTTGAACCTAGGAGTCAAAAATTGCATGATTTGGATTGTAGCTCTGGTTTGCTATGGTTATTTTTCCATGAATATTTCAATTTTCTAGTTTGCTAATTTAGAAATAATAGTAATGTCTGTTCACTTCTCACAGTATTTTAAGATCTGAAGACTACAGAAACCAAATAAAATCCTGCATGTACATGTACCTTCAATGACATTGAAAGGAATGAAATTACTCAAGCATAAAGTTACATTTGTAAAACTTATGCATTATTATATAAATTTTAATATTTTTCCAAATTTAAATATATTATTGCAAATACTTAAAAATACTGAGGTCAGTTTAAAGGATGAGAATATATTATCTGGGTTACAGCTGAAAGCAATGTTATCATAGTTATCGACAATTAGTCTTATTTATGAAAAATTAAAGTATTTGCTTTCTTAGCAAGATTTATAGTCAGACCAATTTGGAACTTGGAAAATTGCCTAGCCCTTTTATGAGAACTAACATTTGCATTGCTAACAGTCTCACAATTATTTTTTCTTTTGGGGAAATGAAGGTGTTTTATAAGAAGGAAGTAGGAGCTGGCACAGCTGTAAAAGATACTCCAGAGATTGAAAGAGTAAAGAAAAATCAACAGAATATTAGTTCGGTAAGTGCTATTATCATAAATTATTCTTGTGTGAGTAATAGGTGGAGAAACTTTTTTTTTTACCATCTTGTTTACTAAAATGTTCTTGATTTTCATATCACACATCTCATTCAAAAAGTTGTCCAGTGGATTTTGGATATAGAGCTCTATTCTAGCACAGCTAGAACTCCCCTCTACTGTAATAGTTCTGTGTCCAAAGGTAGAGATTCTAATTGAAACATTAAGTAAAATAAGAAAATATTTTAACTAAATATTTGAGGAAAGTGTTTTGTCTCTCAGGAGTGAGAAATCTGGGGTGCATTGCCCCATATGATAGACTGAACAGTAGTTACATTTGCAGGTTAGAAAAATACCATGTGGCAAAAAATAAAATCTGTCATATTCTGTTAGAGACTGCATGCATTGCATAGGACTTGATACAGTTAGTACTTAAAGATGAGAAAAAGTATGTCCAGACTTCACCTGTGTGAAAAGGTGGAGAGCTGGATCTTCTTTACGTGCTGGTGAAAAGTTGATCTGTGGATCTGATGAGATTAGTTCTGATTTGATGTTGTTTATCTAAGGATGCCCATTGTCTTTGGCACTTTAATAGGCAAATCAAAATTAGGTATCAAAATGAATGTTTTCTTCAAATAGTACATTATCTTCTGATAAATATGTGGCAAAACTTGGAAAAAACCTGAAAAGTGACTGCCAAGCAGTGAAACTCTTGTAACTGTATTGTTAATTTCCTTGTTATATTTGGTGGGGACTCTTCTGGGACAATTTTTATGTTTGTGACATGACTTTTCTAATTATTAGATGCTTTTTTTAAAAAGTAAAGTTTAAAAAGTTTGAAAATAATGTGTAGACATGATACTATGTTGTGTTTAAGTATTAGTTAAAATATGAATTAGGGTCTCTGGACCTCATAGAATTTTGTTGAAAATTCTCATAGAATTTCATTGTTTACTAAAAGTGTTAAACACCTAATTTCCCACCATTGTAAGGTCAGTAGAGAATTTCCTTGAAAGGTTATATTTTCCTTAAAATTTTTTTTCTACTCTACCCATCACTGTTCATCTTGTAATTTTGAGTCATACTGCAAGCTATCATGTGTCCTAAATCCTGAAATAGTTGGATATTGAACAGTTGAAACCTGCTGGTTGGGAAGCTGTTGATTTTCTTGATTTGAGAGTGAAGGTTTTTTTTTTTGTTTGTTTCTTTGGTATTTTGCTTTTAAATTTCCAATTACCACATATATTTATTTCAAGAGCAGTCACACAGAAAGGAGAATTCTTACTCTAATGTTTTTTCACAATACATTTCAAAGTGAAATGGAAAAATAGTGTACACTGTTCTTGCTGTTTTAGAAATCCTGAATAGTAGTGAAGAGGGAAAAATGAAAGGTTGATTAGTATGCTAGTCAACACATTTGAGGAAAAACCTACGAAGGGAAGTACAAAATGCATTAGTGGTGTAGTGGTACTATGTAAATAGCATGGCCTCTACCTTGCTAGTCTTTGTGCAGAGTTAATGTTTTACAAAAGGTATTTTATTACACATAGTGTACTTGAAATTACTTTAGTCTTGTATAATGTTTATTAGAGGTGTAGCATGCCAAATTTAAAGGCAATGTACAAGGATATTTCGAATTACATGTCAGTGAGAGGGAAATTATATTGTGCAGTAAGAGGGAAAGAGTATTGTGTAATTTACAGGACTCCCAAAGGAAGGGTAAATTACACCAATTTTGAACCCATTAGATTTAAATGTGTTACACGTATTTTTGAATTTAGCCTGAAGAACTTGGGACAGCCTTAAAACTATTTTCTGGGATAAACAAAAGTAGTATGTGGAATGTGAAGCAAATTTTCAGTGAAAGCAACACAGGGCACCAAAATAACACTTACAGTACAACCAACCACACAAAAAAGTCCATTGAATTGTGTTCCGAAAGTGATCAGATTCTTCCAGATTAGATATGTAGGAGAAAAACTTAAGAATAAAATACAAGTTGGTGACAGCTGAGGAGGTTGAGCTGATCTCACCTGTTGTGATGATGGGTTTGGAAGAAGCCAAGATCTCACAGAACTTTCCAAGCAAGCCACAGACCCATGGACTGCAGCTGAATCTGAAGGGAGAAGCTACAAATAACTAAGGACTTCTAAAAAAATAGTTTGTATTTTGGAGCAGGCAGGGTTGGACACAGCACTGGGAAGAAGTGCTTTGGGAGAATCTATTTGTGCTTTTGTTAGTGTGAAATCTGTGAGGAAACCTCTGTGGTATGTCAGTCAATACCACAAAGCTGGGGTCTTATTAAAATTCAACTAACAGACATTTTGAAGCATTTTAAGGATGAGTAGCACTGCCAATTCTTAGACTTACCTAATAGTCTCTATTAAAAGACCCTTTTTTCTAGTGCTGTAGTGTTTTTGCCAGTCCTGAACTGTCTGGACTGTAATTTTCCATTCCTCATTTGTACTTGGGGCTGGTTTGGTTTTATTTATTTATAAATTTCAGTCAAAACAGCTTCCAAGTATGAGCTTAGAGAAAAACAAGTTGTTTTGTCTATGCTATGAAATTGGAAATTCTCCAGAAGTACCATGTCTTGAGAAGAAGAGTTGAAAATTAAATGTTAGGAAAAAACCAGTAAATATCTGACAGCACCTGCAAAGGTTTTAACAATCCGGACAACTACATCCTCAACTGTGTGTCTCATGTGTTTTTAAAGAAATTCAATGAGACTTTGAAGCCATCCACCTTTTTAGGAACACCTAAAAGGCTTGGTTTCTGAAATGGACTGGTAGACTCCAGAGCAAGTTAATAGAAAGGCCAAGTAATTTTCAAAGTGATGTGGATCTCCAAGTAGTATATGCAGCATCCCAATTATGGTGAAAATGGCCACAATCCCATGTGATGTATATTCCCACTGTAAGAGTTTTAGTACACTAGAATTGTTATAAGCCCTCTCTGCTCATTACATCAAACAAGATACATCTGAGACCCTAGCAGACTGTTTCAGAAATTAAGTATAACTGTTGCTTTTCAGGCCAGTGGTGTTAGTAGATGTGGTCTGGTAGTGCAGTATGTGTAAGGGCAAGAGTACAAAGTGATAGATGTGTTTTAGTGCCTCTCTCTTCTTTACATTGATAATGTTTTTGTAATATCTATTGTGCAGATTAAATACAAGGAAGAAATTCGGCGTGCAACAACTATTTCTGATCCACCTGAACTAAGGAGAGTTAAGGAAAACCAGAAGAATATTAGCAATGTGTGCCCCATTTTCATTTCTTGCACACTTCTCTCTGCCATATTTAATGTGTTTGTGTGTTGGTGAATATATCTGTGGTGTTTGTGCTGCTTTCTGTTTGCCCACAAAGACCAGACTAATCAATTAATGGTAAAATATGAATCAAAGTGCAAGACTAATAATTCCTTAGTCTTGCACTTTGATTCATAAGAATGAGAGTGAAGTATTCATGTTGAAATAACAATTGTCTGTGTTTGAAATAGAAGAACTGCCAGAGGGTGAGTACTAAGTATTGTGTGGGAGGATGGGATTGATTATTAAGGAATGGTACTTTCCATCCAAATGCAATGTGTTCTTTAGTGATGTCTAGCATGCTTACGTATTTCTATTACTTGGAACTCTGTTGTAATATCTTCTGACATGTTTGCTAGGTTCAGTACAAAGAACAGCTCTGTAAAGCAACACCTGTGAGTGTCACCCCTGAGATGGAAAGAGTCAAGAGGAATCAAGAGAATGTCAGCATGGGAAGTTGCTATCCTTTAATACTTGATATAATTTTGGGGTACAGAAGATGAATACAAAGATCTGCTTTCTGAAATGGTGCCTTTCCTTTAGTCTGGGAGAAACTAATGTATTGTAATGTGTTTGAATTCCAGTAATGGAATTACTTGAAAATCTTCTCTTAGGAAGCAATTGTGAGAAGGCTTTGCTTGGTTTAGGAAACGGCAGGTGAACCATCACATATTCTACTAAAGAAATGGCTGCAATGCTTTGAAATGTTATTCTCTTCCTTAGATATTTGCAGAAAATCTGGACCCTTTTTTTTTTAAACAAAATATCTGTTTCCAGTTTTATTTTTTCTTTGCTTTGTGAGAAATTAGCTACAGTTGTGCTCAAACTTCTGCTGTCTTACCTGTTGAGGTAAAAGAGAGCAGAAGGGAAGTCCTTCGGGTTAATCAGTAACCTCCCAATCAGAATTTAGTATTTAATGCCTGAGATAACCATGTATAGAGAAGAAGGCAAGGACTAGAGCATGCTACTGCCTTCCTGCACTGATAAGTTGTACCCTGTTGATGAGTCCGTGAGAGACCAGGCACTCTCCTCACTGGGAGCTGCCATCAGCAGCTGTGGGTCATGGGTCCACAAATAGCTACACCGTTTCCCTAGGGTGCTTTCTGCTGCTTTCACCAAAATAATTTTGAGCCACAATTTTAAGAATTCTGTCCCTCTAACTCAACTTCTGGATTACTGTTGATATATCTAGCTTTCCTAACATGTATTCTGTTCAAAAACTGCTTTCCCCTTTTTCAAGCCAGTCTGTATAGTATTTCTACTCACACTGTTGTTTACTCTTCACCAGTTTTTGTGTTGTGAAAATTTCACTGGAAAGTTTAAATCTTTTCAAGTCACTTGAATAACTTTGAGTGAAGATTTGTTAACTTCAGCCATTTCTAGAAACATTATTCTGAATGGTCATTTTACCTTTATAAATGTTAATTTGCAAGTCTAATCCATTTGATAGCCTACCATAGTTTTAGTAAGACATTAATTTTTCAATTGGAATATGTTGATGTGGACAGACCAAAATTCTGTTGTGCTGGAAGACAATTACTGAAGCAATAGCTGCCATACTGCCCACTGCACTGCAGAATTATGAGCGTAGTGTATCTGCACAGTCAACCTTACCACTTAAACCAAAGAGCTTGCTTTTGTATGGAAGCATTTATTTTGCATAAAAATCTATGAATTGGTATGAATTTGTTGCCAGAATCTGTTACTAAATATTTACCATATCTGACTTCACAGCATGTGGGGCTAGAGTTAACATTAGATTGCTTGGTCTGTCAGTGCCACATCCTGTCCTGATCTGCATTAGATCCTGATCCAGCCTTGGGTGTGCATTTGGTTAATGCATTGTGTTTGGTTACAGAGTGATGAAGGGGATATTCCTACAGTAAGTTAAAAAATGCATGGTGAAATAAGGCTGGATTCAATTGGCAGTTGTCTGATGAACTGCACCCTCTGTGTTTAATCACCTTTGAATATGTAATATATAAAATTCAGAATATAGATGGAGACCTTATGGAATTTCTGTGTCTTGATAAATATGTATTTACAGTGGACCTTCCTGAAATTCAGTTTTTCATATGATCTGCTTGCCTTTACTGCATTATATGTGTCTTAACCCCATTCCAAATATAAATTATTTCTCTGTAGAGCCAAGGACCAGTCTGGTAAATGCCAAGATATTGTGTGCATCTGTGGGTATATATCCACAGAATTGCATTAATAAACAACCTGTACATAAAAATAATTTGAGGTTATCTTTCAAAAATCAAGTTTTATTAACTTTAATAAACTTCAGATGCATTTTAGCTTTTCTGTTGTTTCCTGGATGACCTTTGAAGGCATGCATTTTTATATAAAACAAGGATATATTGCTATACCTGAAATAGTATGAATGTATATTTTATTCTGTTACATAATAGGTTCACTACAGAGAGCAGCCTGGCAAAGCTACTGCTGTGAGTGTCACTCCTGAGATAGAGAGAGTCAGGAAGAATCAAGATAATATCAGCTCGGCAAGTTTTTTGAATCTTTTTGTCATTCAGATTTTACAGTTGCTGTAGAAATATAAACATGGATATGCTTTTCCTTTTACATTTGCTATGTCAAAGAAATCCAACTACATCATTCACTGATGAGATATTGGTTTTATTCTTTGAGGACATGGACTGTATATATGTTCAACAAACATATTCAGGGTTGTCTGGTTATTTTTGCAAAAAAAGTAAGTGGCTGTGTTGGTGTCAGTATTTCTCGAGGAGAGAGTCAGTAGAGGTCAGTCATTCATTGCAGTAAAGAAAAAAGGGAAATGAGAATTTAACCTCAGTGCAAATGTCTTTTTTTTTTTTTTTCTGATTCAAAGCATGGAAGCATTGATTCCATGCTGTGACATGCCACCACTGTTAGAGGTGAGTAGTTCTAAATAGGTCCCATTGCTAAATACTAAGGAGTAAGATAATATCTATTTTTTGGCTTTTATGGTAATAAAATGTAATTGCTACTGAAGTAGTGTAATAATCAGGAGACAATTCTATTAAGGAACAAGGAAGATGTGCAAAAAGCCTGATGAAGTAAAGGATAAGACCAGTTATATTGCAGTCTGTCCTCAGCACTGAAACAACATCCATGGCAAAGTCACTGCAGATGGTAGATAGAAGAGGTTTCATGCAGAATCACTGTGGCAGAAGAGAATTACAAGTAATGAACACTTGAGAACTGAATGTAGGAGTGAAAAGTAAGTTGGATTTGTCAGGGAATATGTCTAAGGACAAAGGAATGCAATCTGACATTGTAACTGCATATATCTTAATCATGTTCTTAAAATGCTCATTAATATTTTCCAAAGTCAATTATTTTTTAGGTGTGTGGGTGAAAATAAGAGGAAAATCTCACAACAGTTCTAGCCTTTAAATAATTTTTTAATTTGTGAAAATTAAATGTGTTTCTCCAAGTGACTCATTCACTTTGTTTCTCAAGATTTACAGGGATAAATACTCCTCTGTGTTAATAAGAAAGCTAAAAATCAAACTATGTTTGCTGTAATTATTCTGTCTTATATTATTCTGTCTTTTGAATATAAGACAGAAAATGCCTTATATTCAAAAGCATATGTAGCTGACTATATTTTCTAAGAGAATTTACTGTTTATTTAAGAAGGCTTTGAAGATTTGAAGACTATGCAGTACCATATATTTTTGTTTCTCACACATTACTTCAAACTTAACCTCTGGAACACAGACACCAAGATACATATTTTCATGGGTGTGCTTTCTTAGCCAATACGTAATCTTAAGGAGGGTTAGACAGTTTCAATGCATGGTTTTTTTCATCACAAACACATGTTGAAATAGATTTGCTCAACTCATTTGAGAATTAATACTTGGAGTGTGAAGAGATAGGTAAATCTAGAATATTAACTACCATAGTGGACAGGTTACAGTGTGATGCAGGAGCTAAGAGAGGCCATTGGTAGAAGCATTCAACAAGACAGAAAAAACTGTAAGAGTACTCACTCCCAAACCAGTAAGTAGGATCAGCTACTTTCACTGTTTTAGAATTTTGAGTGGTTTTTTTTCTTATTTTTAACAGATAATTAACCGTATATCTTTTTTAGTCTGTGAAATGCCACAAAATAAGCTAATGAGGAGAAATGTGATGTAAGAGATTCAGTACTTACTGGTGCACAAAACTCAAAGCCCAGACATTTGTGTAGGAAACAAAATATTCAGATTCTTCCCAGACATGTTGCTTTGTGCTGCTAGTAAAGACTAGCTATTGAATGGGAGTTGTAAACCTTCCAAAAGATTAATCCTCTTGTAAGGATTGAATTCCTTGGATTTCTCAGGTAATCCCAATCCCACAGACTCTGTGTCTGTATTGGTAATAAGAAGGTAGCTTATCATCAGCCATACAAACATGTTTTAATGATGTTCTAAGTCACAGTGGTGTTTTATTAGTATTTGTTTTATTTTCCAGTTGATAAATGAATGATTTCACTTAGGTCATTCAAACAGTCACAAATTTCAGATTTTAAATAAATGCTTTTTTTGTAAGTGATTGATGGGATAAATATGCCTTTTGGCACTACTAATATACAAGCTCATCTGTATCCTCACAGTGAAATAATTTACTGCCACATGAGTGTAAAGAAAGAAGAGAACTGTTGGGCATTGGGGTTTGGAAAGGTACTGTTGCATGGTGTGATTCTCACCATCCTTCCTACTGTAAGCAAAAAATTTCACCTGTGCTGTTGTTGCTGTTTTGCAGGTCAAGTACAGCAGTGATCAGAGGCAGATGAAAGGTAGACGTAGTGTGCTTCTAGACACACCTGAGCTAAGGCATGTCAAAGAAACACAAAACAACATCTCAATGGTAGGGTACTTTCTTCCTGTGACTAGAGCCTTCTAAGGAATGGCACTTGACTTCCACTGGATTTTGCCTTCCATTAATATAGGTAACTAATGAAACTCTCTCCTCAGGTATGGAAGGAATATTTTCTTCTTACGCCTGCAGAGGGAGTGTTTGCTAACTGCATAGGAGTGTAATGAACATTTTCAAAATACTAATAAAGTTTTCTAACAGTTAAATGTCCGTTCTTTTGGTTTTTTTTTTTCTTTAAAAATGTACACATCATTTGAGCATCACAATTTCACTGGATTAGGTGACACACTTCACCTTGTGCCTGTGCATGTTCCTGGTTTCTGCGTGACTTTGGTTCTTGGAATGAGTTGTTTTGTGTGCATCAGCTTGTGTGAGAATGTTTGTCAATTTAATGAATTGATGATTAAGTTATTTATAATGTAAATATGCATAATCAGCAGTACTACCTTTATAACTCTTACTAATACTGGGGTTTTGTTCCAACACTTGGTGCTGTGACACTTTCTACTCTAATGTCCTTTTTTCTAATATTTTCTTTTAAAACAGGCAGTTTAGAATAACTGTTGTTCTTTATAAAAATCTACTTCTAAAGCCAGCTGACATATGATAAAACAAAAGAGCAGAATGTACATTTTGTGTGATACTGTGCAAGTAGTCAAAATTATCAATGAATGAAAATTCTTAAGTTCTTTAGAACTACTACTGCTGGAAGATTTTTACTGACAGATATATTTATCTGCATTAGTAGACAGCTATCCCGTCATAGAGAAGAAAGGAATGGACCAGGTGACCTCTTGAGGGCAGGGCTGTTTTGTGTCCTGTGTGATAGTAAGATGATGCTTTGCAGCTTAAGCTAATGCCTTATTCAGTATCAATGGAAAAGAAATGCAAAATTGATTCATAAAAACTAGTTAAGATGATAGAAAATACTTGGCTGGCCATCCAGCCATCCAGCCTGTATAATGATATATATACTTATATACTATAAGTATATATATCATAAGTATATAAGTATATATATCATAAACCATACATATATGTATTCCTGCGTAGAATAACCATTTGCTGTCAATTGCAACCTGGGAAAAATGTAATTCTCCTTGTTTTCCTAGGTAAAATATCATGAAGATTTTGAGAAGACAAAGGGTAGAGGCTTCACCCCAGTGGTAGATGATCCTATAACAGAGCGTGTACGAAAAAACACCCAAATTGTGAGTGATGCAGCATACAAAGGTGTGCATCCACATATCGTTGAAATGGATAGAAGACCTGGAATAATTGTTGGTAAGCTGTTAAATACTGTTGGTATTGAAGGCATGGTGGGAAAGATAAAAGCCCCTGTTTGTGCTCTCCAGATTCCATTTTCTCTCTTTTCTCACCATGAAACTTTTGGTTGAACTGCAGGTTCCATGTCAGCTTCTAGAGAAGTAATAATGGGAATGAATGGGGGATATATTGTCATTTGATCTGTAATTTAAAAAAAATATATATATGGATAGTTGTTACTATTACTTTAAATATGAATTTTGACTCTAAAAGGAAGGTCAAAATATCTATAATCTTAATTTTGCACAGAAAAAAGATCATTAAAACTGATTCTGCAAGCTACCAATGTTTAAATTTTGTAGGCCAGTTTGAAATTTCTCCTTCTGTCAGTCAGTAATTTCTTCAGAATTGCACATATCTATTTATCTTGTGTTTCACAGTTCCACACAGCTTTAAAAATATATCAAGCTGTAATTCATCACTAACTCATTAGATCTCTAATAAGCCAAGTACCAGTGTTGAGAAGTGGTGTTCTGAAAGATGGCCCAAGATAAGAATGGGTGTTCCAGGGGTAGAAAAGAGATTAGATTTATATGTAAGGAAAAGGTATTTCATAAAGGTATCATTTGGCATAACCATAATGAGCTCTATTTAAAAATCGAAGTGGATATTTGAAATTGCTGAAAAGGCAGCAAGTTTGCCACGTCAAAGGAAGCAGTAATATTTTTTTTTCCTTCTCATTTCCTTTTAGGTTTTTTGGTGTCCCTTTCTGTTTTTCTGTGCTTTGCAGCCATGTAGACCCCAGAGGATCTGTGTACAAAAAAACCATACTGAGATAGCACTCTAAAATTCTTCATGTATAGTGGTAACAGTGAGGCTGACTTCAAGTTTGCATCTCAAAACCCAGAGAAATCTCAGGTGAAATGGACTAACTTGTTGGTCACATAAGCCACCCTCGTGCCTCAAGCAAGGTTGACTATGTTATTCCTGGCAGATGCTTTTTCAGTCTAGTCCTTAAAATCTCTGAATAAGTCTCCCCCACATAAGGAAGTGTATTTCTTTCCTTTTTTGTTGCCATCCTTTATGTGTCTGTAGCTACAGTGGCTTTATATGAGAAGGGATTTCCCAAAAGTGTGTGTTAAGAGAGCTCTGCCTGGGGCAGGTGCTGATGATCTTCCATCACTACTCACTTTCATGGTTGTGGTGCAGCCAAAGGAAAAGGAAAAGGCTTCTGTAAAATTGCAGTGTGACATTCAGTTTGCAATTTGCTCTTTAGTGTATGCTATGAGCCTCCTGCTCTTTGCTGCATTGCATGTGTGCTGTAGTCCTGTGTAAGAACCATGCATACAATCCCATGTTCAGCAGTTGAAGCCTTGCTAGCACAAGCAGTTTGGAATGAAGGACATCCCTGAGATAGATTATTGAGCTGAAAGAACTGAAATATATAGTATTGTTTGTCATGTAAAAATACTCCAGTATCAAAACACACGGAAATTCTTAATTTCCCATGCCTGCCAAACAGCAAAAATTGTACAACTATTTAAAGGAAAAAGGCCACTACTATTTCAGCTAATGCTTTTTTTGAATAAAATTGCAATTACAATATCTACTAGTTTAAAAAGAAGCAGTGAGCTCCCTGCTTTTGAAATGTCCTTGGCAGCTCAAAAAAAAATTTGCAAACTGAAAAACATACTTAGGACTCTTGTGGATATTTTTTGTAGCTGAAAATTGTTCAGCCAGTTAGGAAAAGTTAGTCAGAATCCCTCTGGTTGATTTTTAATGTATTATTGGTGAAGCTAGAGCTACTCTTTCAAATGCCTGGTTACTAAAATTAATGACACTGCTTTGGCAAATAGACAATAGTTTTAACCCTACTAAGCTGTTCTAAACCCATCAAGATAAATTGATGTTGGTGAGCTTTGAGTCTGTTACGAAAGAGAAACCACAATTCTCGCATGAATATAAGGATATTTTACCTTGGCCAAAGCTACCAGGGAATTAAAACTGATTTGTGTTATGTATTGCCAAGATTCGGATTCTGTGTATGTTATTTCAGATTACAGAGATGGATAAAATCAATACAAATCAATGACTTTTGCATGGTGCTGCCATGAAGCCATACTTATATTTTCACTTGCTAAGGCGTGATCAAACAGGACAAGTTGGGTGTTCACCAATTCCCCTTCCCCTTCTCATGCCTGTTAGTACTTTATGTAGGTGCATAATTTATCTCCATTAGGACTAACACATTGTTTATCAAAAGATTCTGCATTGGCTTTAATTTATCTTGGCAGGAAGGAGTTAGCAGTATGCCTCACCTTACGGGAGTTGTGGTAGATAATGTGTAATGTACCTACATGGAATGTATTCTAAAGCCATGGGATTTATTTTGTTAGCTCTATCTGTTCTTTGCATTGCATCTAGTCTGTTAATCATTTGAAACATGAAATATTTGGGGTCCTCACAGTCCTGCTTTACCTACAATTCATTACTTATCTTGGTACCTCTCAAACCAGCAAAAGAACAAATCTGGGAAGACAGTTTTTTCTTACTTCAAGTATATGGAGTAAATCTTACAGCCAGGTCTGCCCAAGAAGAAACTATAGTAAAACTGTGTGATCTGGTAGATTTGTGCTTTGACTGATTATATTTTACATCAAGGTTTTAGTTGAGATTGGTTTGAAGAGATTAAAAGATTTTTTTTAATTTTAGGCATATCAGATATCATAGAATCATTTAGATTGGCAAAGACCATTAGCACCATCAAATGTTGCCATTAACCCAGGTCTTTCAAGCCCACTGCAAAACCGTGTCCTCAAGCATCGTGTCAACACATCTTTTAAATATATCCAGGAATGCTAACTCAGCCACTTCCCTGGGCAGTCTGTTCCAGTGCTTGGCAACCCTTTCAGTGAAGAATCTTTTCATAATATCCAATATATAAGCCTCCCCTGGCACACTTGTTACATCCTGTCACTTGTTACGTGGGAGAAGACACCTATTCCCACATCACTACAACCTCTTTCAGGCAGGTGTAGAAAATTATAAGGTCACCCTGAGCCTCCTTTTCTTCTGGCTAAACATCCCCAGCTGCCTCAGCTTCTCCTCATCAGATTTGGCCTCCAGACCAGCTCCACTGCTTCCCCAGCTCCACTGCCATTCTCTGGACTCTCTCCAGCTCCTCAATGTCCTTCCTGAATTGAGGGGTCCAGAACTCAAGGTGTGGCCTCACCAGTGCTGAGTACAGGGTTATGGTCACTGCCCTGGTCCTGCTGGCCACTCCATTGCTGCTCCAGGCCAGGATGCCATTGGCCTTCTTGGCCACCTGGACCCATACTGGCACAGGGAATTACTTGTTAAGTTCAAGAGTGGTTGTAATTTTATCCTATGGCAAATGAGTACAATGCAGATTTCTACAGCTGAATTTGTCACCTTAGTTAATTTTCATGATATTAATTAAGAACGATAGATACTTTTGAGTTTACATGAATTAAGCAATTAGTAGAAATTTATTTTGGATGAGCTATGGCCCTGATTCTTCTTTTTATGCTGACATGATCTCTGCTGTATGCAAAGGAGAGTCTGTAGTGTCTCAGTCAGCTGTGGAGATGTACACTGCCAGCTGTCAGCTATAGGGATATACACTGCAGCATCTCCACACAAAAGGATGCTGCTGGTGAACTGGGGAAATTATCTTATAGCTCTGATAATTTTGGTTTTGCTACTGGAAGAGAGCTCTAATATGTGATAATTAGCTGATTCCCATTTATTTAGACTTAAGAACACACTATGGTCATGTTTAGAAAATGCAGAAAAATTGGGAGAAAAAGTCTCCTGAAAGTAATGTCAGTGCTCAAAATGAATACACTAAGTTCTTTTAAGCAGGAAACTAAGCTTTCTGATATCTTCAGGTGAATATCTAGGCATTTTGGTTAATTTCTAGATGAAGGAAATTGATTATTGATTGTTAAAGCTCATTCCTTTCATGCTTTTACTTCCTTTGTTGTTTGTCTGTCTTATATTTTCTGTGCTTTGGAAAAAGATCTTAAAGTTTGGCGCACAGATCCTGGCTCCATCTTCGACATTGATCCTCTGGAGGACAATATTCAGTCTAGGAGTCTGCATATGCTTTCTGGTATTGCTTATATCCTGACTTTCCCCCAATTCAGCTTTTCATGTTTGTGAAACTAAGTTGATGCTGTAAATTTCCAGGTCAATATGCCAGCCATATGTTTTATAAGCATACTTGTAGATATATTTATAACTGTTGTAGTTTAAAAGCAGTATTTTTTAGAAAATTCGGCCGTAATCACATGTGGAGATAAGAAATAGTGAAATAAATCTTATCTTAAACAAGTTATTCATGCCACTTACAAGTAGCCATTTAAAAAGCATTGACCTACTTTGTCCTTGCTATAAGTAGAATTTTCAAATAGTTGGAACTTATAAAATTTCAGAGTTATAGAAAGTGACCTATTTACAAAATTTATTTCTTTTCCATGCACATTTTGGCTATATGGCACATGACATTATGCTTTGTTCTATTATTTGCAACTCCAAGATGTTTTTAATTTTAGGATACATGGAAAAGGAGAGAAAGTAATGTAATAACAGGGAGCAGTTTTTGATTTTACAAGTTTATTGATTCTTTTCCTGCATAGGAGTGTTTATTTTGAATGTGTAATTTTTCACATGCATTTCCTTTGCTACTTTGGAACTTTAAACATTCTTTTGAACAACATACAGCTGTATTTCCACATGCATTTGTATGTATGCTGGGATAAAAGAATAATTTGATTTTCCATTGGAAATTTTTGTATTCTTCATCTTTATCCCTTCCCTTTCTGGTATCTCAATACTGCCTTCCATTTCTTCTACTCTTTTAAAGCCAAGAACAAACTTAGTTTCATTAGATTTTGAAGCAAGGTTTGGAACTAATGGTGCTCAAAATGCATACAAAATTGCGAAGAATTGACTTTTCTCTAATTTTAATGCAATCAGTGTATGATTAGCAATGTTAGCAGTGGTGGGGTTTATGTTGTTGCTTGTCTTTGCACTTCCATCATCTATTTACTGTGATATTCTTTATTTCTTTCTACCTTTGTAGAAAGAGCAAGCCGTTACAGTAAGCAGTATTTACATTCTACCAGTCTGGGAGATTATAAGTCAGATGGCTCTGACACGAACCCTACCTTTTCTTACTGCAGTGAGATAACAAGGCCATCTGATGAAGGAGGTACCCTTTATTCCCACCTTTTTCACTAACAGCACTGTTGCAGTGTGTTGAGACTTCACAGGCATGTATTAACTCCATATCCTTGTGTAGGCACAAGTAGAAACTTTGTAAGCTGTTGCCTGATTGATGAAGAAAGCCAAGCAAGACTGCGCAATTTCTGCAAGCCATATAGATTTATTGTGAATTCTCTTTCACAGTTTTGGTAATGCTGTTGGCTCCAAAGCCCTGTTAACTCCTATTTACAGTGCTTTAAAGAAAGTGTGTTGTGTATTTGCGCAATGCACATGAATCTGGCTTTATTTTTTTCTCTTGAATGACACAATATAATTGAATGAAATACACCTTTAACCTGAAAAAACATATTTACCTTGGGCATTTTAGTGGGTAAATCAAGTATATCATAGTATTTTAGTGACTAAAGTACTTTTTCCCATATTCAACAATGCAGGTTTTTGTGGCTGTCTGTTTTTATCTTTAAATAAAATCCAAGGAACTTTATTGTGTTCTCTCTTTCTCTCATAACTAAATTTCCTCATCCTCTCGGTGGCTTGAGAACCAGGGTTAACATTCTGCTGGGAAGTTTATGTAGTGTGTTATAGTTTAACATGGATTAATATTAGAATACTTTGACAAACCTGCATTCTCAAGTACAGAATCACATGGTGTACCTGTTTGATGCTGTTGATCAGAAGAAAATTTAGGAAACTGATTAATAAGGGTCTAGTCATCCTAGTGGCATTGCAGTATGCACTAGACTTGCCTGATGAATTGAAAATATTTTGAATCATTGCATTCTACATAGATATTTTTTAAAAAAAATGATTTCTGCTTCTTAGTTGTGAAAAAAATGGAGTGCATTGGAAAGGTTATCCAAAGGGTTACTTTTTTTTTCTTGTAAGAAACCAAATAGTTGCTTACACAACATTAAATTAGCCATGTTTTTAGAAGATTTTAAGGCATCTTAATTGTAGACTGAACTTGTTTATGTTCTCCCATTCACTGGAGTAATATGTTACTGTGGTGTTTGGTGCTTATGGAGTCTACCTTTCTATGGGTGCTGTGTAAACGCATACAAGCAGCTCTGATTAAGAATGTGTGAGGAAGAAGGTGTTCAGACTGAAGTGGTAACTCCGAAACAAGAAAGAAACACATATCTTTGATAGAAATGTACTGCCTTTTATCATGTCTGGCTATTTTTATTTGGTATTTTAACCAAAATCACATGGTGTACCTGTTTGATGCTGTTGATCAGAAGAAAATTTAGGAAACTGATTAATAAGGGTCTAGTCATCCTAGTGGCATTGCAGTATGCACTAGACTTGCCTGATGAATTGAAAATATTTTGAATCATTGCATTCTACATAGATATTTTTTAAAAAAAATGATTTCTGCTTCTTAGTTGTGAAAAAAATGGAGTGTATTGGAAAGGTTATCCAAAGGGTTACTTTTTTTTTCTTGTAAGAAACCAAATAGTTGCTTACACAACATTAAATTAGCCATGTTTTTAGAAGATTTTAAGGCATCTTAATTGTAGACTGAACTTGTTTATGTTCTCCCATTCACTGGAGTAATATGTTACTGTGGTGTTTGGTGCTTATGGAGTCTACCTTTCTATGGGTGCTGTGTAAACGCATACAAGCAGCTCTGATTAAGAATGTGTGAGGAAGAAGGTGTTCAGACTGAAGTGGTAACTCCGAAACAAGAAAGAAACACATATCAAAATACCAAATATTTTTATTTGGTATTTTAACTATATTCTCTACTGTTTTAATAGATGATAGCAGTAATGCACATTTATGTTGTTTTATCTCTTCCTGTGATGGTGCAAAATGGGCTTCACAGTCCAGTGCACATTGTTTGTCTATAGCTGTTCTGATCTTTTCTTTGGAAGTATTCCAAACCATTTCAACATTGCTTTGTCACCTTGGTTTGATTATTAATTGGTATTTTTTACTACTTGAGAATGGGAAATGGGCTTTATTTTTGTGGTAGTTCTGGCACTAGTAAGCTTGATTTTTGTGGCTCTATTTGAATCTGTTGTTATGGTGGTGTCTTGAATAGATCCTTCCCAAGATCAACATATTTTAGCAAAAGGTTGTTTCCATTTTAACCCAGCTGGCTAGCCAGGATTTGAGCACCTATAAACAGTTCCCATTGCAGGGAAGAAATAAGTGCCGCAGCTGAGCAACTGAAGATAATCCTAATGATTTACAAGAAAATGCCATTTCTGTGAACACACTTAAAAGCAGAAGATAGCATCCTTGGCCAAAATGCCAATCTTTTTCATCCCATCCAAAAGGTCATTTTGCACATGGCCACAAGACAAGTTTGCCCCTTTATACAATGTCTCTTATACCATAAATGAGAACCAAATCTATTTTGGTGAGATTCCCTGGCTGTTTCTCGTGGAGTTTGTACTCTTAGATCAGCAGGGTTTCTCATTGGCCATTGTTCTATCTGTTGGTGTGCCAACATGAAAAAGAGTTGCAGACCTGTAATTTCACAATCTCTGAGTCTTCGGCCTTGTCTCATATTTCACATATTCCTGCATTGTTCACTTGCTACTTTATTTTAGATACCTTTACTGATATTTGACACAGAATTCAAATCTTTGCCTGCCACAGCTGATGGAATTGTTCTTTAGCTACCTCTTCCCAGCCCTTAGCTGGATCCCTGACTTAATACCAGATGTTAAAGGCTTGTTCAGATGTAAATAACTGTTTCTTCACTTGGGGAATTTCAGTAATAACATCACAGGAAAACTACTAACATTGTTCATTAGAATTACTTCTTCCTATTTTGTTCCCTGACTGTTATTGTAGATGATCATGTTGAGCTGAGCCATGTGTCCTTCTCAGGGAGCTTTCTTTACAAAATCAGTAGAGTTTTGCAGAATCTAAGTCCAGGAAATTCCCTGTTCTCCATTTTAGAGTCTTGCAGGTAAAATTGAATGGGAAACAATTGTTAACACTTTCCAGCAAGCTAGTGCAGGTCATGGGCTTTCATTTTAATAATATTTTTGAAATTACTTTTCAACTTTATGTGTCTTTCTGTGATTGTTTTCTATTACTTCATGGTATCTTTGAGGATTTTTGCTGCACTGAACAGAAGGTGTTGCATTAGAGCTTCTCGGTCTGCCTGAATATTTTGTAATTAGTTATTGCCTAACAAACATAATCTTTCTACCTGCAAGCCATTCTGTAGGACTTCAAAGAAACAGTGGATGCCACATTTTTGCAAAATTCTCGCCAGTAGTAATTATTTTCAACTTGGCTAAAAAAGGAATATAAGCTAAAGATTTCTCTCCTTTACTCCTGCTTTTAACAGTGATATTGCAACTTCGCAGGCATGGAACCCTTTACTTTTGGAAAGCTTTTTCAGAATTTTTTTCTTCAGAAAGAGGGGTTGAGATATATGGATGTCAGATTTATTTTTGCTTATAAAGACAGACCAAGCAGTTCTTTCTCCACAGAACACTTGGAAAAAGCAGCAAAGTTCTGAAGTTTAGGTCTCTCTTGACAGCATTCTGTCTGAAAACTATCTCAACTGTTGTGTTTTGGGTTTTATTTAGATTCTTTTCTTTAAAGTCTTTTCTGTCTGCTCTTATTTTCCATGCAGCCTTGTACAGTGGTTTTCTCCAAGTTGCTTTCCACATTCACTCTCTTGCTCCTCTTTCTGCCCTTCAAGTAAAGTTTTGCCCTATTAGTTTGCATTCAGGCTCCAGGAAAGAATGATTTGGCTCAGTCATGTGGCTCAACATCTCTGCTAATCTGGCAATATTTTGGGCTGTTTCTAGTTGAAAGCTTCAGGGCTGTTTTTTTCCTCCTTTGCATTTGACCTTTCCTTTATTTATTTATTTATTTCTTAATGTCTAGTTTGTGTGCACACCTTTGTCTAGGTGTGTATCAGCATATTGACATGATGCATAAATTTTTTTCCTTACCATAGGTTCAGACTTTTTCAGTATAAATGACCGTTTACTTTTATTTTAAATTGTGTGTAAGCTGTAGATAGAGAAAAATAAGAGATGAGTATCAGTTCATTTTCAGTTATGAATATATTGTTACTCTGGTGGGGAAGAAACATGGTTTCTTAGTTATTTTCTACTCCATCACCATATTGTCTTAAAAGATAAATAGATATCAGTGTGTAGGAGGCAGAAATCAGTTTTGCAAACCCAAAAATACATGTAACGTAGGAAATCTTAGTGGGTATTAGAACAGAATTTTCAACTGACTTTTGTGGTGTTTTAAATATGAGTGCTGAAATTTCATATCTTTGGTTGGAGCCAGCATGTTACTGGTTGGCTGCATGTGTGCTATTTTCTCTCCTTCAGCCCAAGTTCTTCAGACTCAGTTCACCTGCTGCCACCAGACAAGTAGTGAGAATTAGCATAAAGGAGCCTTGGTATGAGTTTAAAGGTCTTCATTTCTTTATTTTAATGAAAACAGTCTGCCAGCAGCACTCAAGTGTCTATCTTTGCCTGTTTAGTTATCTTCTTTTACTCACACTGGCAATCCAAATACACAGGTTTCAAGAAACTATGAAATTCCACTTATTTTGTTATCAACTTTAAAAGTAACCTGTAGATTGCTATGAGAAAACTCAATTTTTTTTTATTAGATATTTCATTGATATTACATAACAAAAAAGCAACCCAGAAAGAATTGGTGCAAACAACCTCTAAGGAATAAACACAGCAAATGGGCATTGCTGTCAGTATGACTCCAAAGTCTATGAAGACTGAAGAAAACACAATGCTGCAGTCTCTTTCTTAAAGTTTTGAAGTCTTTATCTAGCTTGGAGTGGAAGTTTAATCAATGAGAAACAGTAAGTCCTTTAATCTCTCTTTCCAGTGGCATGTCCTCATTGTGGGATATGAACCTTCTGAAGAAGAAAGGCTCCAGAACAGCTGAGTCTGCTCCCTTCCCTTCCTTCAGACTCCAGGGGTTATCTTCCTCCTTTCCTCACCGAGGCAGGAGGTTGTTGTAGGCCACTAG